TTAAAAGAACAAGTATTAATGGACATCTTAAGGCTGAAGAAAACATTGTTACGGCAGTTGACACAAGAGAAACATCAGTCACAAAGCAATACTAGAAGGTCTGATTTGATTGATTGATATGTGGGGTTTAACGTCCCAAAACCACTATATGATTATGAAAGACGCCGTAGAGAGGGCTCCGGAAATTTAGACCACCTGGGGTTCTTTAACGTGCACCCAAATCTGAGCACACGGGCCTACAACATTTCCGCCTCCATCGGAAATGCAGCCGCCGCAGCCGGGATTCGAACCCGCACCCTGCGGGTCAGCAGCCGCGTGCCTTAGCCACTAGACCACCGCGGCGGGGCAATACTAGAAGTTCTGGAGGAAGCTAACTGAGGAGAACGAATGTTCGAATATGCCAAAAGTTTTCTTAGTGACAGGACTGCAATAATCAAGCTGGGAGATTACGAATTTGACATCATTCCAACTCCAAACAAAGAAACACCCCAAGGAGCGGTCATTTCACCGACACTTTTCAACGTAGCCATGACATGCCTTGCAGGATAACTCAAAATTATTGCCAGTCTACAACATGCGATATATGTAGTTGACATCATGGTATGGACAACCACAGGCAGCCTAATAGAAAAAAAAAAGACAGGTTACAAAACAGCTAGCACCGTAGAAGAGTATGCAAGGATATGGGGTCTTCAGTGCTCAGCCAAAAAGTTGGAGCTGATTTGTCTGACGAAGAGAAAAGCATGGAGAATCGACCCGAATCTAAAGCTGGAAGTCAGGCTCGAAGGAAATATCTTTAGGGAAAAAGATAGCGTACAAATACTAGGAATATGGCTGCAAGCTAGTCAGAGATGTCCGCACACACTAAATCAGCTCAAAACATTCGTACAGCAGATCTCATGCATGATCTCGCAAATAACAAACAAACTTAAAGGCATCAGAGAACAAGATACCCTCATATCGGTCAAAAGCCCCATCATCAGTCGTGCTACATACTTGCTTCCGTATGAGATTGTAAACTGAGAAGAGAAAGAAAAAGCAAACCAAAAAAATCAGAACGGCCTACAAGACAGCTTTAAGATTACCGCGGAATACTTCCAACGACGACCTACTGGCGCTTGGTCTTCCTAACACAATTGAAGAATTATCCGAGGCCCAGCTACTTGCGCAAGAAAATTGACTTTTTCCGACCCCAACAGGCAGAGCAGTCCTAACAAAACTAGGGCACGATATATTATTACGAAAACACCAAGAAACTAAAGTGGTATCAAGCGAACTTAGAAAATTGTACACCGTATTTCCAATACTATGTAACATGGATCCTACTCTGAATGCTGGGAAAAGAAAGGCAAGGGCTGACTACATTGACAAAATGACAAGATTTTTAAACACAGCCAGATTCACTGACGCCGTGCCTTATCAGACCAATGCAAAGAGAGCTGTCTGTGTAGTCACCAACCGTAGAGAGAAAATTACATCCTGCGCTTCAATAGATCAGGCCTCGACAACACAAGCGAAAGAGGTTGCCATAGCACTTGCAACAAAAGAGGGATGGACGCGAAACGCTCCATTAAAGGGTCCCTGAAACGGTTTTTCTCACATTCTGTTTTTGATTACATCACTACTGGAGCAAATCATAGGCACCAGAGTTCAATCGAAATACCAATTATTAACAGAGCTACGAGTACTAAAGAAGTACCCTCCTTCTTCGCTCTGCCTTTCACCCTCAACTGCTCTCAACTCTTCGAGCGCTCAAGGCTTCACGGCGCCTGTGCCACAATAAGGCGTGGGACTGCATAAGCGTGAATCCCGCCGCCGATCCGATACAGGCCGCCTGTGCTGCGCGTTCCACAGCCAATCAGATCACCTGGAAACGATGATGTCAGTAGGGCAGAGCGCGTAGCTTGGTGTATGGGTGGTTTAAAACGCGTTTGGCCGAGTCGCAGCGATCTGCAGCGATTCCGTGCAATTCGCAGCTTTAAAGGGCCTCTCACCAGGCCCCATACCCACTTTAAGTTAAACCATGGAAGTTGTTGGGTGTCCGATAAGAAACATTTTACCACAAAAATTTTTTAATCGGTTCATTACGAGCTGAGAAAACTAATTTTTTTTTTTTAAGTGGCATGAAACGAGGTTGAGAGGAGACGAGCTTATAACCCTTGCCGATCCTCCGCGTATCCTTCGCAAGCAAAATCTCTTCCCTACCCTCTCCGGCATACGACCAAGAGGTCACGTGCGCAAGACGTACCCGAACATACCAAACATGTCCCATGCACGCAAGTGGCGTTTATTATTTTTTTTACCAGCGTTGTGTTGACGTCTATTGCATTGTTTCTGTGGAATGGTTTGGAAACGCTGGCTTAGACGTGGTAGAATAGATGAGTACGAGTGTGCAAATGCGTAGGAGTGTTCCACAGCAGTCATCTGCTCGATGCGCTGATCGCAGAACCGGCGGTACACGAAGGCATGCGAAACGCCGGCACATTAGCCCCGTATTTCGCTGCAATTCACGTAAAAAGAAAAAAATTAAGAGAAAAGAACACTGACATTTCCTTGTTGCATCTCATTATTTATCTAGAGATTTACTAATCTCTTCAAGCAACAAATACATAAACTACGCATGTTGTGTTAAATAATTTTCCCCATTTTACGTGCCACTGTTGGCAACGTCAGAGCATAGTCTTCTACAAAGAGGACCAATGTCACTGCATTCCCGCGTATGTAGATCCATTCATACTCGCACGTCATGCCCTCATTCTCTGGGCACACGCCTGCAAAAGAAAGGGGGAACCGCGTTCATCTTGAAATTTGACCCATTTCCGCGGTGCTTAGTGTTGCAAATTTTGGCAGACGTGATCATGAACAGCTCATCTACGCATTGCGCTTGTCAGCTTCAAAGTGTCAAACCTGGTGAATGGCCTCTTTAAAGTGTTGTAATAAATTACACAGTTTATGCAGAGAGCTCAAATCGGTTTCTAAATTACTCTTGGGACTTGGTCTACCGGCCCAATGTGTTTGAAATAATCATCAAAACCGTTCCAGAGTCTCTTTAACAATCATTACAGATTTGCAAAAAGCTTGACGAAACTATTTAACCGGCAGAATTAGAGCACAGGCGCTCCCGATATTGGTTGGGACAGGATGGGACGCCACAGTAACATACGTACAGACTGTAACTTGGGCACCGGGGCACAAAGGTGTGACACAGAACCTGCATGCAGATGAGACAGCTCGAGGCTTTATAGATCACCTAGCCACTCCAGACAATGCAACAGATGACCCTACACCCCTGGACCCTTGTTTCACAATGATTATTTGTACTACAGAGAAAATAGACAGCTCTATTCATGTCCACATACTCAGAGCTACGGACGTGACAGCACTAAATACAGACAAACACATTAATCTGCACACCCTTCACCTGACCTACCCCACGGCGTAGAGACATATGGCCATAGTGTGGAGCCACCCAACACTCTTTCACATCACGTGGGAGTGTGCAGAGCACGATGAAGAACACGACACCAATGGCACATGGGAGGAATGGGAGGCGCTGCTGTCGAGGCCAGCCCTGGTAGATCAGCTGCGACTGATCCACAGAGCTGAACGGATGGCTCGTGCCAGTGGGGCCCTCGAATAGGGGCACTCCCTTGCCAGACAGACTACGCTCCTCACCCTGTATATTCTTCGGGGCACTGGAGTTCTAGCCTGTTTGGTTTATGTATATAAGTTTTGTACTACTACTACTACATCCATTGTGTGGTTGCGCTATGGGTTGGTATGGAAGCTACACGGCTGCTTTCAAGTTGCAGGTGATTGATTATGCACTGAACTACGGCAACAGAGTCGCTGGTAGGCACTACGGAGTCGACGAGTTTTGAGTTCACTACTGGTGATGATAGCAAGAGCAGCTGAAACCAACCAACAAGATACGTTGGGCCGTCCAATAGGACTAAAAGTGGGAAATAGCCACAGGTTGAGGCAGCCCTTCTTGATTATGTCAAGGGTCTCCACACAAAGACACTTGAGACAATTTTCGCTAGAGGCTTTAGTGCCAACAAATAAATCTTGCTTTGTGTTCGATTTGTTTTATCATTAAGGTAAGTCTTGATTAGTATGTCTCAAAGGTTGTAGTTAGTTGCTGGCATCAGAATCACAATTTGAGGCCGCTTTATCTCTTTTTTCCTTTGTACAGATTTGGGGAAAATTTTCCCAGAGTAATTCTCGCACCCTCGAACGTTGCATCGGTTTTCTGTGACAAAAAAGTGCATGGATTATGCGAGAAATTCGACACACAAGTTTACTGCCGTAACTTTGTGCTTGAGAATCTAGATAAGCTGTAAAATATAAACAGTAATGCACTGCCTTTTTTTTTTTATGCTTCTGCTCAGATGTTTACTGTGGTTGCAGCCGATGCAGCAACTTTTTAAGCTCTGATAAATACCAAAGATTATTTTCCTGCTGGTTACACAGACTACAGTGAATTTCCATACCCTGACTAGGTTTTTCAAAAATTCTATGACTATTCCCTGACTTTTCCAGATGTGTCGAAATTCCCCGACTTTTCCAGATTTTCATGTTTTCCAGGTTGGTAGACACTATGGGCACTGTACAATTGCCAGGAAAATTTTTAAATTTTGGCAATCTTACCCAATGCACATCTACAGTTAAGAGACAAAATGTGCTATGTCCCTCGAGAGCAGCAAAAAATGTCCAAAGCATTGAACCCGCCCCCCTTCCCCCCCCCTCTCGAGTAGTTTCAGAATGCTTGCTGGGATCAAAGAAGATAGAAAGCAGCTATGATAACTGCTAGAATAAACAAACGTTTTTGCAGCCAAGAGATGCAACCTTATTCTACATTGAGGACATATTACCTTATTGTTACAGGCTCACAAGGCACAAGCTTCCAAGAGCATTTTACAGCGCTCACTCGACCAACTGGTGCAATATTAGAGAATCTATTTGAAATGACCAAAGGAATGGTATTGCATGCAGCTCACCTCGCAGAGGACGATACCAAAGGAAAAGATGTCAACCTTCTCGTCGTACAGCTTCCCAGTCATCATTTCGGGCGCCATCCAGTATGGGTTGCCCACAACCGTGTAGCGTTTCTTGCGCTCAGGCCGTTTGCTGCCGGCCCCTACACTACCGGCTGAGGCACGTTTGCCACTAGAGCTTCTGCGGCCAACTCCGGCAACACTGGGATCACTCATGACACGAGCCAGCCCGAAGTCAGCCACCACGACTGTTCGATCCTGTAATGCCACATCACAGAGAAGCACCAGACATTTCCAAGTCAGCTTAAGAGTTGCAAGATAAGCAAACATATACCATAAAGGACAAATAAACCTGGTGATCAGGATGCTACCACATTAACCCGTATATTGGTCGACCAAAGTTGCGGGGAGGAGGGTCCACTCACAATTGAAGCAAAACAAGTACTGCAAGTAATGACAAAACAAATGAGAAACCAGGGACACTGATGTAGCTGCGCCGCATTTGCTTTGTAGCTTTGGCAGATGAAGCGCTCATGGGAACCATATAACTGGGTTGCCACAGGCGAGAGATTGAGGAAAAAGACAGTGAAAGAACGAAATACAGAGAGACAATGATACAAAGAACTAGAGTAATAAAAAAGAAGCAAAACGAGAGAGCATAGCCTAGTATAGTATGATGTAGCAAATAGTAGTAAAAGACATTGAGGACAAGGATAAAGGAAAGGAGCAGAGTACAGCATAGTCTTGTATAGCATAGCCGCTCGATGAAAAAGGCTATTGCATGCCCGAAAATGACGGTAGCCCTCTAGTTAGGTTTACCGTCTACCGCACAACACGGGTCAAAACCAAGGTAGTTTAAAAAAAAAAGAAACAAAGGTGCTCTGTACTGCAGGTTTTCCTGAAAATATTATTGGCAATAATGTCATCAGCCGCATTATTTTCTTCAAAAGCAATGATATCTCACTTTATCGTTTGAACTTTCATCTTCTTTTAGTGTCATACTTAAATTTCTGGAGGCAGAGGTTGACGTCTTTCTCACATCGTTTAAAGATACCATGAAACGCAAAAGCTCCTTGGCATGCTCATATGTGGTGAGATACAGCATCGCACGCAAGCCAACATTATCGATTTTCTGTCTCTTTTGTACTAACGTACATACTGCACATCGACTAGCTCCATGTGTACACAACTCTCATCCCACCATTGTCACTTTTACCAGTGTGTTTCAGTACAACGCAACAGGCTGCACCTTTTTTTTATCTTTGAATCGAGCCACTGGGTAGAGTAAAGCAAGAGATGGGAAAGGCCACTGAAGGTGAGGAGGAGAATAAAAAAGAGGGAAACACTAACTGTTCCACTGTCCGCTCTTTCATTACTAGGGCACACCTGACCAAAATTTTTTAGTTATTTTGGGTCATGACAAAACACCACAAAATGCTGCTTTGTTTTTTTTAAAGCAAATTCTTTCCTGAGTAATACCATATTTACTCGCAAAATAAGTGAACTTTTTTTTTTTTTTTTTCAGGAAATCTGGTGCCAAGTTCGGGGTGTGCGTATTACGCGGAATGAAATTTCCGGAAATTCAGACTACAGCATAGACCGCTAATAGCGTAAGTTGCTGATGTCACGAATATCCACACTACAGCTGAAACAACCTTCTTTATAAGCTACACTAGCGCAAAAAGTGCCGAGCATGGAGCCTCGAGTCTACGAGAATCGATGTATGCGATGCGGTGAGCTTACAAGCATTTAAATTTCCAAATATTAGCATCAAAAGACCCATGTTACCAACAAAATGAAAGTGGAAAAAAAAACTACGAAAAGAAATTGCCATCGTGGAAATTCACCGATTGTGTTTCAGGCTGTCTAGATTATACGCGCTATCACAACCGAAATTTTGTGCGCTGAACGATGACAATTTTTCATTTCACAGGCTTCCACCCCATATCCGAAAACATTTAAATTGAATCGCGAACCACCATTCGAGAGCTAAAAGCATCACCCATGCCCCATTTCCTTCAGCTAGAGCCACCGCAAAGAGTTAGATTGGTTCCATATAAAAAACGCAACTTCGGCCGGCCGTGACCACTACCGACAAGCAACCAATGCTGGTTAGGCCTAGCCTACGTTCGGCATGTCGTGGGAAGTTTGTGCAATACAGCATGAAGATTGTGCGTGAAAAAGATCACAATCAAACAATGATCCAAGAATAACGCGTGTGGTATTATGCTTAGGTTCGCGGTTGAAAAATCAATGGCAGCAAAAGTCAGTCGAGCTTATGCAAGTCCGCATAGTGGCAGCAAAGGCGAAAGCTTGCGCCGGAAAGTTAAATTGCTTTTAAATTTGCAAACGAGGGAGTAAATTCGACAACGATGACGTTTTTCCCGACAGGAAACTCGAAGTGCACTTGATAAGGACGCGATCCCACGTTCCATGCGGGGCGCACGGCTGGAGCCACAGTTATGCAGAAAAAAAAAAAAAAAACCTAACTGAACAACCACAAGGTTGTGCAAAGTTAGCCTTCGCATGGCACGTGTGCACAAGATCCCAGCGGGTGGCATTTTGAAGGGAATAATGTAAGCCTTACTATTTCTTGTCACTTACTTAAAGGTAATATCACCAATCTGGATTCTATGTACTTCTTTTACAAAGGATCAAAATATTCGTCGTTATTAGTTTCTTGTAATGAGGTTACAATAAGCTGGCTTTATAGTGTCTACGCAGAAAGTAAGAAATTTTTTTACCCTTGAGAATCGACGATGCACATTTGGACTGCTGTAAGCAAGTTCCAAATGGTCAATGCTATGCAAGTTTACTCATCTGAAAATTGTGGCACGCTTCAGTCTTTTTTTTTTTCTCAGACAGTGCTGCTACACCTGGAAAGATATTTTGCTTCCACTTTCCACAATAGCTTTCACTTTCACATCTGCACACCATGCACAGGCACAGTGATATTTGGTATTGCCTTGTGGGCAGTTTGTTTTGCTCGCAAAGACTCTTCTGATTTCTGCTCTCCCAAAGGAGAACCGCTCGATTCCAGCTCACTTATTGTCTACAGTGGTGCAATTTTAGCTGTTTCAGAGATGCACTGGTCTATACAAATGATGCCATAGCACTTCTACATACAAAATCTTGGTGAAACATATTTATTCCAATGAGCATTTTCTTTATTTATAACATGTTTCATTCTCATAAAAACATTTACTGTTGAAGAACAGGCAATGCATTGACACCTACGCCAAATATTTTAGCCCCAGTCATTCATGAGAAAAAGGGTAATCTTCTTCTAAGTAGGTCACTCTTAAGATCTTAAAATATGCAATAAAAAAATTTATGCTGGGAGCACAGCCAAAAAATTTCACCCTATAAGGACAAGTTTCCAGATGTTCTTATTTATAGCTGGCAAATGTCCTGAGATATTCTACATGAATAAAGCAAACTGTTAATGAAGACCTTGCACAGACTTTACTTGAGCTTTTTAACTGTCAGGTAAGTTGAATGGGGCACCAATAATTTAAGACTGCCTGGGCATGACAGCAATATGCCTTGTGTAACCCAAAGATATGATTTGTAACTTCAAGTTGAGGATAGCTTAACATAGTGGGCAAACTGAATATATAGTACACCACTCGAGTAATTGTAGTCATTCTGTTCGTGCTGCATGCTGCCGCCACTGCTTTCCTTTGCTGCTTATTGCATTATGTCTGGCTGCCCCTGCTCCGAGATACATGTTTAAGAAATCATAGTTTTAGCAAGAAACGAGATGGCCATGTTTTCAACTCACCTCTTTGACCAGGCAGTTATGAGAATTCAGGTCTCTGTGAATGATGTTCATGGAGTGAAGATAGCACTGAAACAAAGACAAGAACTAGTTTCTATACCCGTATGGACATAAAAAACGATGTTTAATTAAGGACGAAACTTGACTGGAGGACTTTACTGTCCTACAATGAAGCCACTGTCCACATTTGGACCTTATTTTTGCTCCTGGCAGACCGATCGATATGTAACCTATTGTGGTGATCGATAGGACTTCCATTATTTTCCATCATGATTATGTTAAGAAATAAATACACAGCCCAATGAGCAGATGACCGTAAGTTCATATGTAAATGAGCAGAATGCCAAATAAATTGGCTGACATTTTATTTGAACATCTGACGTTTCCTTGGGTTTGTGATAGCAAGCTTCAATGTAGATGTTTCACTTCAGCATACTATCACTTTGATGAGGTCGCTCAACTTCTTTCAAGTGAAGGATCACTATATCCTTTAGCAAACAGGCATCACTTCTTTCTTTCTCACTGAACAGAATTCCTTATCACCCATCAGCGAGATTTTTTGGAGAAATTTCAGATGTTCTTATACACCCACTCTATATATTTCTGGCTTGCAGAGGTTCTGCCAAAAAGCTCCAATTTTCAGCCATGTCCAAAAAATTAGCAGCTGACTGTAATTGCTATTGCAGTAACAGCTACGTGGTCTACACCATCAGTGCTAATGAAAATGGCCAGTAATAGCAGTGCAGAGCTTGAGGTGCGAACATTTCGTGAGCGAAAAATACCAGATTTTCCATGACGAATCTGGCAAACTTAAAAAAAAAAAAAAAAGGGTGGCAAAGCATTTTTCTCACCATTCCTGCCGCAATGTCCCTGGCCAAACGCAACCTCTGCAGCCAGGGTAGGGGTTCACTCGAGTCATGAAGCAGGCTACGCAGGGATCCCCCACTGACGTACTCAGTGACCAGGTGCAGCCGCTTGTCTCGGTACAGCACACCAATGAAGCGCAGCACATTTTCATGGTGCAGGGAACGCAGCACAGCCACCTCCTTGAGGAAGTTTCGCTGGGCCTCCTCATCCAACCGGTGCAACTCTTTGACAACCATCACCTCACCCGTCTCTCGGTGGGTAACCTGGTTCCGAACACATTAAGGCAGGCTATGTTGGCAGTGCAGCATTTTTCGCTCGGCACAGCTTACACAGCAAACAAAGATCACGGAGGCATGCATTGTGTGGTACAACATATTGATCGTAAATATATTTGCTGCTCAACATTAGCTCAAAACACAAAAGGCTGACGGACATTGTAACATTGCACTAACTGCATTCGAACCAAGGATACTGCTGAATATGCTTGCACAGCTTACCAGGTACACTTGGCCAAAAAAGCCCTTTCCCAAGAGCTTCCCTTGGACCAGGTCAGACGCCCGGAAAATCCTCTGATTCTTTGGCTCAACACGGAACGACTTGGTTCGACTGAGGTCTAAAGATGGCTGGCTGCCACACGCAGATGAATCACTGAAAAGCACAGAAATATCTCCTAGAACATGACCTTTATTTGCACGTGCAGAACATTTCTTGGTACTGAAGAGTAAGAACTGGACTTGGGCACGATAATTGGTACGTGCATTTCCTGTAATGATTACACAATCTCTACAGAGATCTTTGTCTAGCAAAAGCTCTTGTTTTTAAAATGTGATGTGAAAATATATTATTATTGTTATTGCAATCATTGTCATTGCAATCAACCTCTCAGTAACCAGTGCATGCCTCGGTCACCGAGTAAGTGAAAAAATAGATTTAGTGCAAAAACAGGCAACCATTGTTGCAGGAATAGCAATCTATGCTGTTTACTTAAATTGGCTGTCCCAAAAAAAGTGGAGTACTCAAAATTTATTTAAGAAAAGAAGTCCCCAGAGAAAAGCTTCCTGGAAGAAGCCACAAGGTGCAATAAATGAGAAAGGTGTGTCATACACTACTGCTACTTGCCCCAACAACAACAACAGTAGAAAAAGCACAATGAGGTGCCCATGTCCAGTGCAGCGCCATTGCCGTTTCCCTTGGCTCCTTTCCCCCCCCCCCCTCGTATGCCAATGACCAAGAAGAATACATAGTAGCAAAGTGTGACCAGGCTAGTAGATAACTCGCCGTTAAAAAAATGCACAAGTGTACAGTTTTACTGTACATTGTATCCCTCCCGAGAACATTGTTTCTGGGCAGCACTGGCACAGAATCCTTCATCAGCACCTGAAACAGTCCCACGAAAGGTGACCAGCAAAACGAGAGTTTGGCACTGAAAGCGAAAGCTGGAATACTTGGTTTGGCATTAAATTTTCGTAAAGTCTAAATTTTTCTTATATAAAATTTTATTTTGCTGCCATGAAAATAATGAAGCCTTCATAGAAAATCTTTCTACTTTTGTTTTGCATCGTGGTGCAACACATTAATATGGTTCAGATATCTTTGTGTTCTACAAGCACGAGTGCATAGCACACAGATAGCATAGCGCATGGGTTTTTAACACGCCAAGCCCCAAAAGTTCATTTTGTTTTATGAAGCAATGAAAGTCCGACATGACGGAGAGCTGTTTTCTCATCGAGTCGGCATAAAAATGCTTACACACATAAAATGATGCCACAGCGAACACAGAGAGTGAATCAACACAAGTGGTGAAAGAGAGCGAATGGAAATGTCCAGTCAACTGCTTTCTTGCAAAAAAACTGTCATCAACGTTCCCAGTCCTGCACACTGCTCAACTATATTTCTAGTTTGTTGAACCAAGCACATGGTTCCATTCGCTCCCTTTGTCAATTTCTTGCTGTTGCACAGTATTTCTTCACTACCGCTTAAGGCTGTTTTAAGGGTTTTTCAGTTGTCAACAAGATAGACCACCTGACTAGTAGACGAGGAAGAGACGAGGAGCGCTCCCTGCCACCACTGGACCTCTTCAGCTGGCGTGACCTCGTGCCACTCGAGCCCATGACGCCTTCATCCTGCAAGCATAAAAATGGGCTAAGTATTCCTATCATAAAGAAGTTTTTCAAGATGCCAATTATCATCGCTGTAAAGGATACGAGATGCAACAAAAGTCAAACCAGAAAAGAAGAGATAACATAGTAATTTAAGCAACTGAATGAACATAAAAACACTTATTTTTATAAAATTAATTTTATGACGTATAATTGGAAGAAAGATGCACATTTAAGGCAACAGGAGCATAATATGTCAACTGCACAACTTCGTCATCGCGTTCTGAAGCCGTTAATCAAGCCACGTGAAGCAGACGCTTTAGTGGCATTTAGGCACCCCAATTCCTAATTGAATCAGAAGCCTCCAAGTGAACCAAGTGTTTGCATAGGTGCAAGTCAGGGCAATAGATTTTCCCGTGGGAACTGGATAACGTTATAAATGGTAAACACTGCGAACTCTTGTTCTGAACTTAAATGTATGTAGCACTTCATCCATAGCGGGCTAAACTGCTAGACATAATACATTTTGGAGTCGCATGCACGATGCATTGAAGCCTGGGACAAGGTCATGCGGGCATTGTAACTGCACACAGCCCCTTTTAGACTTCCACCAATAATCAAGTAAGAATGGTGAGACTGGCAACCCAGGAAAGCATTTTTTTTTTTTTACAAAGCTGCTTCACTAGAAGAGAACGTGAAGTTACAGTGCATGCAGATGGGAATCTTTCATTTTAGGAGTAGATGAGTAAGTACAACACATTTTTTTTAGAATACATGAGGAATATTCGACCTCAAGCCAGCTGTTTGATTGAAATGAAGTCAAAACAAGGCCGTTGAACATGTAAGTCAGAGATTCTCAGTGACAAGGACTGTTCCCAGTTATGAGGGGGGGAGGGGGGGGCTACAACTCTCGAAATCCCCCCTTTGGTGGGCCAATTATAGAGACCCCAAAAGTTGCCAACTGGTGCAGAGTCTATAAAGCTTCTTGTAGTGAGCTCACAAGCATGACAACACTTGTTCCCAACCACGGTGTCTAGGCAGTCGCAGCTAAGTCCCAGCACTAGCTTCAAGTTAATGACAGTTGAGTACACAATGCGTCCGGACAACACTTGGATGTCAGAACAGAAAGCGGTGTGCATGTGGTGAAAGTTGGTACAGAAGCTATGAACAAAGAAGCAGGAGAAAATCGGGTCAAGGTCTTAAGGCACAATGGCTTGAGCTGAATGATCACCTGGGAGCACAAGTTTTAGAACATCTTCTAAAAGGCTGAGATTGTCTACAGGGCAGTCGTACCTATGCATGTAGGCTCAATAGATAGAAATTGTGGGTCTTGCCAGTGGGCACTCTCGGCACTTCAGGTTTATGAAACATAAGATTTGTGACCATATGGTTGTGCAAAAGCATCTGAGAAGCTGCGACAAGACACTGAAGGCACGAGGCTACAACGAACGCTAGTGAAGTTACGCACGTTTCTTCATTTCGCTCTTTCCTTCACTAGGCTGAATTCGCCCACTTGCCTGTCCACCTCGACAAAGCCCTTCCTCAGAGTTCCTCAAGGACGGAAGGGTGCGTAACAAAAGATGGTCAGGTGGTCAGGAAGAGCGACAATTAAAGAGATGCAGAAGCAGGGTAGGCGTTACAGGCACCTCGTCGATGTCTTATTGGTGGTCAAAAGTGGTGTCCCGGAAAGTTGTCAGAAGCCAACTCGGTTAGCTGTAACCGACTGGTAGTGCGATTCTGTACCATTGTTCGTCATAAGTGCGATTTTGTACCATTGAAATAATGCATATTTACACTGTCATGCAGGTATCGTTCGTTTTAGCCAAAAGTGGCACAGTTATATCTGGGCTCGACTGTAGACAGTTCTTAAATCAAGACAGTTGCACAACTCCATTTAGAAATCCAGACACATCCACAGGCAAATTTATGAATTATAACAAACATGACACGTGAAAGCAGTCTGAAAATGTAAACTTCATGTGTAAACACACCTCTCGCTTCATCACTGCGGCATGGCTTGCAAATGTGCAATGCCAACACGCAAAAATGCCACTTATTGGTTTATTTTCTGCCTAGAGGTAGAGCCACAATTCACAGAGCTTTGAGATATTGGCCCATTGGCGTGTTTGTATCTTGAAACATGGAGCCCATGGAGAGTTCCAGAACTTGTATGATTGAATAGTTCTATCTATTACAATGACCTGCCATGGAGGAGCTGGAGGTGACAGACTGCACCAGTTTAATGTTGGAAGCTATGCTCAGGTTCGATGGGCAGAGCAGCATGCCACCATAGCAGGGAGAGACAAATGCAAAAGTGAGGGCACATCAGTGCTTGAGAACAACTAAGCACACCACTGGGAAAGGCCAGTTTTGCTGAACAATGTAATCTACGCTAGAACTGCTGCACTGAGCTCCACAGAAGGCCATGCGCAGTCATCCATTTTCAAGATGAAAACCTAATAAAAGTTGATGTTGATTAAATGACTATGAAAATTATGATTGTATTTAAACACACAATTTTTATTTGTCTTACAACAAATCATTTCCTCCAGTGAAGCAGCATGAGCAGTCTAGCTTTACCACCTTAAATAGAGACTGAAACAACTAACAAAACCTTTAGTATGATGAGAGGCATGCTGAAGATACTCTCACTTTGCTACATATCTGGCCACAAAAGATAATACTGGCCATGCTGTAGTAAGCTTTCAAGTACAAAGTATGCCAATAAGACACCAACTGAAGGTGGTGAAAACAAATGTACGCTCAAACCTCAATATAACAAAATTGTATCTTACAAAAAAATAAGTTCATTCTATCCACAAATTCGTTACACATTCGACGTCTGATTTCTAAGACGCCCGAAATTCTGGACATGCCAGATTTCCTGGACAAATCTGTGGCACTGTCAAGTTCCTCGTAGAGTCAATGTATTGAAAAGTCCGCAATTATGGACGTTTATAGCTTTCGCTATGCGATTCTCTGGACTTTTTTACCTATCGATGCAGCCATTTTGGTTGTTTTGGACCCACGAACCCACCGCGCCGTGGCTGGTAAATCCTCGAATCTGAAAATGCCGCAATCTAGTGCACGCCATTCTGTTGCCACCTGTAGCCTCTGGCCGTAGCTTAGGCTGCATGGTGCTGTGCAGCCTGTGCTACGACAGTGGCAAAAGCTACGCTGTTGACCTTTGGTTTGCCATCAGCATGCTTGCAGACTCGTGGAAGGCGATTACACAACAGGCCCTCCGGAACTGTTTACGCCACACGAACTTTAAACTGGATGCCGAGACAGCCGTTTCGCCCGGAGTGGACAACATGTGCAACGAACTTCCACCCACGGACAAAACCTTCGACGATCTGAATGTTAGCAGCGTTCCGATTCCGGCCAGTATAACCTTTGAGGGCTTCGCTGATGCTGACAAACACCTCGAGCTGTGTGCAGAATTATCCGATGATGAAGTAATTGGTGAAGATACGGAGGATTCTGATAACTCCAACATCGAGATCAAAGAGGCCGCACCTACACAGCCAACGAGCTCGCAGTTGACGCGAGCACTGACACTGTTATCGGTGTACAGCGACAGCGTGACGTTAAATGAAATTGAGGCAGACATCGTTACGGGCAAGTGGAACGTCGTGTAAACAAAAATAAGTGACTTTTTGTTTTTTGTGCCGGCAAGCCTAATTGTTCACACATGAGGAAACGTCTGCCCCATTGAATCTTTTTATCTTCCTTTCTTTTGACTCTTTTCAGAGCCACCTAAATAATGCATTTGCTGAATTGTAATGAAAACCTTGTACTCGTGCCGCGACCCTCTGTTTCAGTGAAAAATACCCATCAAAAAGTGTGTTTTCTCTTGCACCCATTCTTCCAGACTGCCCGATTTTCAGGACGTTTTCCCGGTCTCTTGAGGGTTCGAAAAATCGGATGTCGGCTGTTGTGGTTATTCCTAATACTGTATCTATAGCAACATAATTTTTCATTTCCTTCATTATAAACGATATTTCATTATATCTGTGTTTGTTCTATTGAGGCTTTAGTGTATTTGTACCAACTCAGCCCTAAGTTATCACATTTCAATTCATGAGCAATGTACTTGGTATTTAGTGGATGGAGATTTAAAATTATTTTCATTAAAATGCATTTCTTGGCAAGACAATAAATTGCAATTAGGTTCTAAACACTCCTTAATGAACCTCTATGAAGATTTTAAAGGGAATGAAATTGCACTTACTTTGGCATAATTACACATCATATGGCACCGCAAATGATGACATTTTCCCACATAGATGATTGATACTAATACCCCTGTCACACGTGGCAACATACAAGTGCGCTTTGAGCGAGTACACTTTGCCGAGAGTGTCATTGGCGTGCTGTCACACGAGAAAGTTTAGTGTCACTCGATGCAAAGTACACCAGTTGGCAATAAGCTCACTTCGCTGCAACGAAATGTGTAGCCTCGGTACCAGAGGCTTGTACAGAAGTACGCTGTTGCCTAAAGCGGTGCTCATACTACCTTTTGTTTATGTTATAAAGAATACTACTATGCATCAAAACAAGTGATAAAAAAAAACCTTCGCTACTCTCACCCTCAGGATGTTTGCGGCCACGCCTGCATGGGGGATGCAGCAGCACATGCTGTGCAATGGCTGCATCAGTCGCGATGTTTACTCCCAGGCACGCTTGCACATGTGTAGGTGAGTCATTTTCTAGTCATTTACGATGGCATGTGCCACTGGTGCTACTTTCACCTAGAAAACATGGTCCGACGATGAGACAAAGGTGCAAAAATAAATATATGTTGTGCTTGTGATGTGCGCGCAAAGATCCGCAGTGCACTGTGATTTGATAGAAGAAAAAAAAGGACGATGACGAGGACTCCAGTGCTTGTGCGAGAATGCATCAACGCTGCGAGCTCGTGAGGAGAAGAGAGAAGAAGGAGAGTGAAGATCAGACGAAACTGGGCGTTCCGAGGCAGTCAGGAGACCGGACCAGAGCATCGACGTTCCATGACGCGGTCCAAGAGTTAAGGCTGCAAGCTTCACGTGGCCGCTGAGTTCCTCCGCCATTTCCCTGCAGCAAGACGTTCCTCACCGCCACATACAAGGCGTTTTTGAACTCTTTAGAAGCCGTCACCAACCACTTTGAAACCATACCCATCTCTTCGTGTCGCCTGGTGTGTCCGACTGTTCCAAGTTTAAGCCTCCATCCGTTGAGATAGACTGCAGCAAGGACACTTTGCTCTTCCGAAACTTTTTCTAGTTAGCTCTCTCTGTTTTCTGCGTTTCCTATGTTTATTTCGTGCGTGTGTGCACTTGTTTTTTATGTTTTGATAGAGTGTTGTTCGTAAACCAGAAGGCAGCCTCGTTGTTTGTTGGGACCGATCACACTCCTAACCATATTTATGTGAACAATTACATTTTATATCATTAAAACGCTACAAATTCGTCAATCGTCATTGCCCTCATTTCCAAAGTAAACTTAGCTTTCTCGTGTAGCAGCGAGCCGCCAAAATGACACTTCGTGAGCGTAAGTAAACTCGCTCAAAGTGCACTTAAGTTGCCACTTGTGACAGGGGTATAAGCTGACAGAATTCAGTTTGCACTTTCTTTTGCCTCAATGTGAGCATCCACTATAGCAACCAGTGAAAGTAGTAAACAGTCTTGGTAGAAGTTAGCCGAGATCCTGGAGACTATAGTTCTGCATGGCCATCAGCACAGCCTATATGAATCCTAAGACTGATTCCCAATGGTTGAGGATATGATGTTCCCATATATCCTCCAATTCTGATTAGTTTTCTGTGTCTAACCTGCCACATTTACTCCATAGTTGATGATAGCTCAAAATTGCCCGTTAACATGGGCATTTTTGCAGTGAAGAAAGAACACTTGAGATTAGATAATTGTAATTCAAATACAGAACTGTTTCAGTACCATTAACTGAAGTCTCAAGTATTTATGTTACCAAGTAGACAGAGCACACGACAGTTTTCATGGCATAACACTGCACTTCAATGGAGATACTACAAACCTTTCTTTTGTATCGCCTTTCCTTGTCACTCAAAGCTTTCCTTCTGGGAGGACAGAGAAGAGGACACTTTGGGACACTGCTTGGATCATGCTCAATGGTCAGATGCAGCACTTTATTTGTTGACTTGATGAGCTCTTCAACCTGCAGAAAAAATATATTGATCTGTGAATTCACAGCGACCCCAAACATCGATGATAGGCTGCATGTTTAGTCTGAAGATCAGAGCTCTGGTGATATTACAAGGTGTCTTTTATAGCATTTCATGAGCTCTTGAGCAGGAGCTAATATTGTTGAACCAAGGCAAGACAATATATTCTTTGTATCAAAACACCATAATTGCAAATAATTGTGTAGACTAAGCAACTACACTTTCCTACATACACTGTGAGACAGGGGCATTAATCAAAAGCATAGTGCAAATCAAGGAGAAAAAGTCAGCTAGGCGTGGATATATGGACAGCTGGTCAGAAATTTTCTTGTACTCAAGAACAGATGTGCTTTATAAAAGCTTCGCTGCCATAAAAACATGTTATATGGTGGGAATACTCATAGCAGAGATAACAGCAGTCGCTGGGCCTCCTACTTATCGCCATTTGTTGGTACCACTACATTGACTTAAGAAAACAAAGAAGAGTGTCTCATAATCATATGGTGGTTTTGGTACGTTAAACCTTAAATACCAATATATAAAACAAAGGATTTCTCAGCTGGAAAAGCCCATTACACAATAAGGCATCGATGAAAAGTAGGCGACAATTAGGCCTTGATACATTCAACATTGCGTCACAAAACTTTATGCAGTAAAATCCCATTTATACGGATCTCGTGAACTCGAAAATTTGGTTAACTCGGCCTCGCCACACAGTCTTTGCAAAACTGTGTAAACACTCTAAGCTGCAAAGGAGCAAGAAAAGAGCAAAATGGGAGTAAGTGCTGCATTTTGTCCCTACAACCAACAGTTAGTCCGTGGAGGGACTAACTGGAAGACGAGAGTGCCGTGTGCAAACAGAGGGAAGAACTGTTAGACCATTCGGAGCAACGTTCACTCCCGGTGAAACTTGCCGGCACAGTGGCGGCCTCGAAGGAATCGTCAGCATGTACCGTAATTACTCGAATCTAACGCGCACCTTTTTTCCGGTTAAGCGGGTTCATAAATCGCATGCGCGTTAGAATCGAGTACGAACAAAAAAATTACGGTCAATCTATTGCCATCGGCAAATCCAAAATGGCCGCCCCCTACGTGCGTCGGCATGACGCATCGGCCATTTCTGCCTATGTGTTTCCCATGTGCGGCACTTCGTACGTGTGCTGAGGAGTTCGTTATCTAGTAGTGCATTAGCATCGACGGCGTGGAAGGGCTGACTCCAAAAACTCGAGTGCACCACAATGCCGCTTTTAAAAGAAAAGTCATCGCGTGTGCAGAAACGGACGGAAATCGGGCCGCATCGCGGTCGTTCGGAGTTCCCGAAACGTGCGTGCGGGACCGGCGGAAACAAAAGCAGAAGATTGTCGACAGCAAAGCTTCTCGCAAAAGCTTCAGTGGACCACAGCAAGGTCGGTTTCCGCAAATTAAAGAGCTGCTCGGCGAGTATGTGCTTGAGCAGCGAGCGGCACAGCGGCCCGTGACGACAGAACTGCTCCAAATGCGGGCTATGCAATTAGTCTTAGAAAAAAGTCTAATGCGGAGCCAGTTTAAAGCGAGCAGGTGCTGGCTAACTAACTTTATGAAGAGGAAAGGCTTTTTCCTCCGAAGGGGAACATGCATATGCGAAAAGTTTTGCGGAGGAATACGATGAAAAGCTTCACAGTTTTCAGAGGTTCGTCCTAAACTTGCGGCGCAACAACGGCTACCTGCTTGGGCAAATCGGGAATGCCGATCAGACACCTCTTTACTTCGACATGCCTGGCACCACAACCGTCGAGAAGAAGGGGACGAAGCAAGTTCATGTGCTGACATCGGTCCACGGTAAAACTACAGTGACGGCAATGCTCTGTTACACGTCAGATGAGCACAAGCTTCGCCCGTACCTCATATTTAAATGGAAGACGCTCACGAAAGGAGTCGTTTTTTCGAGTGGTGTGATCGTGCGGGCCAGCGAGAAAAATGGGTGCGCGTTGAAATCGATGTCTTACTTTTTTTTTTTTTCCCGCGGTGGAAATCGGGTGCGCGTTACAATCGAGGGCGCGGTAGAATCGAGTAAATACGGTACGTTAGCAAATAGTTACCTAAAAAAGTAAGCTGTTAACAGTTTAAGTTAGTGGAAATACTCGTGAAAACTATGGAAACTACGTCAGGGGCAAAGTAATATTTTGTTTATATAGCATAAATATAAGCAAATGTGTACACCCCGTTCTCAAAAAAAAAAAAAAGAGTGCTTGTGCTCAAGCTGTATCAATAAGCGGCGTGGTTTTATCGTCAAGGTAGCCCTCGTTGGTGTAGCGGTGTGTTGTGGATGTGTTATCGTAACGTGGTTGTGACTGCTGTCTCTTGTGGCCCACTGAATCATCTCTGCACTGTAGAACCTGATCTGATACTTGAATGAAGTGCTACGCTATCGAAATGCTATGCGCCGACTAGAATAGCACTTGAAAGGTGAGTGTAAACAAGACTGCCATCACTCTGCAAGATTCACCTCTGTGCTGTTGATATGTAACGACCACCGTTTGTTTAACACTCACGTTCTTTGCAAACAAAAACAGCATGGTTAATGAGCTTGCGCTACCAGTGTTGCGAGGGCTGGCCTATCTGCTATAGAATTACAAATGTGCATTGGCCATCGAAACATGGTAGCCATTAGCTGTAGCAAGTACAGCTGTTTATAAATTGTCTTGCTTTCAGCGCAGCACAAATAAGCATTGTTCATTAAAGATTTCCACACTTAAAAAAAAAATCCCTTAAGCTCTGCACAATGTCATCTTTTACAATGTAAACAACTAATTTAAGGGGGGGCGCGGCAAGTAAAGTGCCGATTTTGGTCAAAATATGCGATTTTCTGATTTATTTTTTTTCGTAATCTTCAGACCTTCAACTTCCTTGTTCTAAAATATTACAGCGAAACGTGCGCTACGAATCCCGCAAATAGTGTTTTTGCCGAGGCTAGTCGCCGAAAAGTGCGAAAAAAAAAGCCCCTGAAACGGTGTTGTTCACGCCGCACAAACGCGCCAAGTTGTTGATCGTGGGCCGCCATTTTGGTAGCTTTGGAAAGAGGAGAAAGCCGGCTTCCCGATGGTCGCGGTCTCGTATTTCGCCGAGTGAAAATAAAAGCGCGAGGAGCAAGTAAAAAAACGAAAACGAAGAACGGCAATTGGCTGCGCGGGTCACGTGGTAGCAGGCGCGACCTCTTACTGGTCAAAGCTGCGCCGCGCACCTTGGCAACCTTGGAAGCGCGAGCGCATCTGCGGCCGCCGAGTCGAGAATCATCCGGCGTGCGCTTCGTTTTTTGCCAGTTGGCTGTTTTTGTGATAGTTCGCGTGCTTTTTTTACCAAGCTTTGTTTACATCGGTGGTCTCTTCTGAGTGCTTGCTCATACTGCGGTGCTATGTTGTCGCAAAAAAAGTTCCGGAGCGTCCACAAGTACGGCAAGCGTCGGAAAGCTTGGAACAAAGGGCAGACGACTGCGGCTGCCGTCCCAGTCGCAGTTGCGGACGGAGCATGTTCTTCAAGCGTCACGGAGCCTCTACTCAGACCCTTCGCTGATTGTTGTGAGGCCGAGAGTGTGGAAGGTGCCACATCGTCGTATGTCAGACCGCCGGATGCCGTCGACCGTGATGGACGCTCTCGCGAACCCGATTGCGGTGGCACCGCGTCGGCAGCCGTTGCAACTCCGGGCGTGCGCGCGTCGAACATTCTATCGCGAGTTTCGGCCCAGATTCCGAGCAGTGAAGAAATCGCGCAGCGGGCGCAGACAAGGCGGGATGTTTTGGATGCCGTAGCATCGAAATCCGCTTCAAAGCGGAAGCTCGAGCTTCTGAACGAAGGCTGCGACGAAAATGACGGCGGTAAGGACTCCACATTCTTCATTGTAAATAAGAGGATGCTGAACGGTCTGCTTTCGTCAGTAAAGTGCAACAAGTGCGACGAAGGGTCGATACCCCTCGAGACTACGCACTGCCTTGGACTCGCGGCGAGGATGGAACTTTTTTGTGACAATTGTGGCATAGTGAACAGTGCGTGGTCGTCCCCGAGGTGCTCCGGGCAACAAAAAACGAACCCCTTTGAGGTAAACGTGCGTGCTTTGAGGGCTGTGCAGTCAGTTGGCAGAAAACAATCTGCCATAAATGACATTTTTTCTGCGATGGACATTTCGCATCGAGCACTGCACCACAAGTCCTACCAGAGACTGCAAAGGAAGTACAGCCACCCTGCCACCACATCAGCTGCCACCCGCATTGAAGCAGAAAGTGCACAGAAGGTGCATGACATTTACAAGGACCTAGGAGGAGTGCCAGGCAACATTGACGTCATTTACGACGGCACGTGGATGACGAGGGGGCACAGAAGTCATATTGGCGTGGGCTGTGTAATCGAGCTGTACACAGGCTTGGTCTTGGACCACTGTGTCCTGTCCAACTACTGCCAAGGCTGTGCTGTTGGTCCCAAGCCTGGTGACGACAACTATGAGGAGTGGCTTGAGAAACACAAGCCACAGTGCCAAAAGAACACCGATGCTAATGCAGGCCAAATGGAAGTAGAAGCAGCGAGGATCATGTTTGAAAGATCGTTTTTACCAAGTACAAGCTTCGATACATCAATGTGCTCTGCGACGGTGACAGCCGTACGTACCTTGCCCTCACGCAAGACAAGGTGTATGGCTACATGTTGATTAAGAAACAGGAGTGTGTGAACCATGTGAAAAAAAGAATGGGCACTTCCTTGCGCAACCTTCTTGATGAGCACAAATCCAAAGGCCGAGGACTGAGCATGGGTGGCAAAGGCCGGCTGACGCAGGGCCTTATAAAGAAGTTGACGAATTATTATGGCTGGGCCATTAAGAGCCACCCCAACGATGTTCCTGGCATGGAGAGGGCCATCATGGCCACTTATTACCATGTAACATCCACAGACCAGGATCCACACCACGACCTGTGCCCAAGTGGGACTGACTCCTGGTGCCCGCACAATCAGGCATTGGCCAAGGGAGAGCCGCTGCCGCCTCACAAACATAAACTGCCCCCTCACGTGCGAGTGGCACTGCTGCCAATCTACAAGCGCCTCTCGAACAAAGAGCTCCTTGAAAGGTGTGCGCAGGGAAAAACCCAGAACGCTGTGGAGAGTATGAACAGCCTCATTTGGTCACTCCAGTCCAAGAGCCAGTTCGCCTCCCTTCGAAGTGTGGAAAGTGCAGTTGCAGATGCAGTCTGCCGTTTCAATGGTGGCTGCAAGAGTGCGCTGCAAGAGATCACTGCTCAACTGGGCTTCAATCCAGGAGACTGCTCTTTGCGGCGAGCAGCCGAAAAGGATGCCAAAAGGGTGAAGAGGGCTCAAAAGACGCATTGTTCCACGACAAAGAAGCGCAAAACTGGGTTGCGCTCTACAGAGGCCAAGGCCACAGCATCTCAGGATTACTGCCCAGGAGGATTCTGAGTGTTTTAGGCATGTTGTGAACTTCCAAACAAGAGTGAACTTTCAAAGTCAGTTTTCTCAACTCTTGATTTTCGCCTATGTGCCTTCGCTAGAACATCTGTCATTTTTTAACAAAGACTGATAGAGTCGTTCCGTTTTTTGCACTAGGCTCAGGAGGCCTTTAGCAGTGCAATAAAGCTTTATCTCTCTTCTTACTCATCATTTAAAATTTTTAGAACACATTTTATAATTACTGCGATGTGTGCGCAAAACAACATCCATGTTTTGGAAATTTTATTTATGGTTACAAGAACTAGAAAAATCAACTAATAGCTTCTTTGCACAAGTTGATGCTTTGGGAACATAATAATATGAAAAAATAATTTCATTTAGCAATAATTATCTCTTTAAGTGCGAAGAGCATTAATTAGTATAATTATGCTTGTAACTCAAAAAGTACAAGAGGTATTTGAAAACGGTTTTCATATTTGGAATCCTCACAATCATCCACATACACACACCAAATTTCATCACAAACAGTACATCAATAAAAAAATTAGTTTTACTTGCCACGTCCCCCCTTAAGAAGGTCAGCTGTTAAAGGGACACCTAAAACGACAATATTATCAACAACAGTGCCCTACTTACCATGAAATTAAGGTAAAGGCAAAAGAACACAAGTGCCGCTAGTAGGACATTTTCAAAATGATCCCGATGACATTAGATGGACCGCCTACAATCAATCACTAGCAATCGATCGAACTGCACTAAATAGAGAACCTTCCGTGCATCAAGAGACGCAATAACATGCTGCTTGTTTGTTTCTATTTGATTCGTAGAAAAAAGAAACGCCAGATATTACTACGCCGAATTGTGTGATTGGTTTGAAAGTTCAATTTTCGCGTGGTTACAAGGGACAGGTGGTGCCATCTAGCGGGGCGCAGTTTAAACAAAAGCGCCTGCAATTTTGGAGCCAATAAAGAGAAATTGATCCATGGCCGTTGTTGCTGCTGTGGCTACCACTACTTTCGGTCTGCTGCTACTAGCGCAGTAAAGCCAGGCAACAATGTGCACGACAACAGTGACGTGAGTGAAATGCCACACTGCTTACTTTGTATTTTCACAACATTTGCTCAATGAAATTCTCTGAAACTTCATATGCCAAGTCTACGGCAACCACAGATTAGATTTTACTTCAGTTTTATCCACTAAAAGCTACATAGGACCCAGCAGACACTTTCAAAATTTATGACGTCAAAGTGTTTGGTGCGCAGATTTGAAGGTGACGTCTCCACCCACAATTTCTTGTTGCACATTTTCTCGCTTACCAAGTGTCATGTCGCGGTAAGAGTTTTTTTTTTTCTTTTTTTGAGATTGTGAAATTGAACTTTACTAATGCGTGAAAAATCATTTTGCTTTTTAGTTGTACTTCAAGGGTGGGTGTGACAATGCTCACCTCTTCCAGAGACTGGCTGCTGAGAGGTGTACCATTGACTTCGAGGATCTTGTCACCAATGTGTAATGCCATGAGGTCGGGGCTGACATCCAGGTCGGTGATGTGGACCCCGTGATGGCCAAGACAAGGCGAGCCCAGCTTGATGCTGCGCGTCCCCCTGCTCGCGGGAATCTCGAGCAGTTGGATGCTGTGTGGCCCAGCCAGGACACTGTGTGGACTGAGAGGCTGCATGTGGTGCCGGTAGCAAGGCCCACTGCATCACAAGAGCATCATCACAATGTGTCACTCTGGCTGCAATGCAATCACCGCCATGTTTGTCAGTATAAGATACATGTTAGACTAACGGGGAATATGAAAACGAGGACAAACAACAGGAGAAAAAAATAAACCTCAAATTTCAAACGGGGAATATGAAAATGAGGACAAACAACAGGAAAACCTCAAATTTCAAACCTCAAGACATCCCCTAATCTTGAACACTAAATGTACGATACTACCAAAAAAATAGTATATAGCCATCAAGCTGCGCCGACTGCCCCAGATTTACCTCAACGCTACATATTTCTTTTTTTGGTGAATTCTGCAAATAAGTCTGTGGAAGCACGATGGGTGCCATTACTTAAGCCCCAGTGACGAACTTGAAGCTGGAACATGTCAAGAAACAAGCCATGGACCTGTTCACTGAACTACCAAAAATGTTCTTTAGATAAGTGCATGATTTATTTTCAGTGACCTAGGAGCCCAATGTCGACAGTCTCCAAGCACACCTAAATTCAATTGAGCTGGCAATCAATTCCCCATGGAATGTGAAAAGAACAAGGTTCATTCTTTTCTCAACATGCTAGTAAGCGAAAAAGTGGGGGGGAAAGGTGTTTAAGGGGAGATGCTACTCGAAAAACGATTTTCTTTAATAAGAGTATCAATTTAACACAAATTGGCACGCAAATAGAGTTTTTTCTCCTCTTTTCAAATATTTATTTTCATGTAGATTGCTTGGTTTTCTTTCTGCAGGTCAGATACTGCAAAATTATGGCCATTGTTAAGCAACAATTCTGACCTATAAAAATTTACGATAAAGCATGCAGATATAGCTGACTATGATCCTTTGGAACTGCAGAGTGCAAAAAACTATATAAATTTTGTGTGTAAAAAGGTGAAATACAATAATAAAATAGAAAAATTTACCATGGCTCTAGTTGCCAAGGGCTTTCAATGTTATGTAATTTTTGAAAAACATAATCAAGCAGCACTGACAATCTGAATAGATACTTGCACTCTATGGGCCTTCATCATGCTATGTGCAAAATTTCATAGAGGTATGACAATTCTAAGTATACGAACTAGCGTGTATAAGAAGCACAGATCACCCAAAACTGCAAAAGGAGAAAAACGCATTCGAAAGTTTGAAACCTTTTTTTTTTTTATCACAGAGTTGTTAGAAATGCATAATCTTTGGCCATAATGTTCAACAGAACTTTGAAAAGCACTGCAAGTTACTAGAACTGTCCTGCAGCATAGGTTGTGCCCTTACGGTCCTTGCGAGCACTCTCTTCTAGCCGTGCCCTTTTCACTCCACGACGACGGTGGGCCCTTGCTTCTTCTGTCAGACGCTCGGACATTCTCTTGATGCGCCTCGCATCGCGGGAATCACTGAAAGTAACTAGATCTCCAGATGGCAGTATGTTGAGCTCTTCCAGGATGTGCTCGAAAGTAGCATGACCCTTGTTGAACCACAGGATTGCCATAGCTGCGGCAGTCTCGACAACCGTTCGGGAGACAAACTTAGTCTTGGGGCAAAGTAGCCAAATTTTGCTGTTCAGGGATTCCGATGCGTTCTGGGTTTTCCCTTTGATGCATCGAGCAAGGAGCTTCTCATCCGTTAGCCGCTTATAAATGGGCAAAACAGCCAATCCCTGTGCTTTCGTCAGGAGAGGTGTGTGGCGTGGTGCAGGTTCACCAAGTGCTTCAGCGCGTTGATGTTTGCACCACGACTCTGTTCCTGCAGGGCAAATCTTGCGGCTGCCAGCATTGTCAGTAGAGCATGAGTGGAAGTACGAAGCCCATACTGCAGTGTACATATCCCGTACACTCCCCCTGTTGCTTGTTATGGCAATCTGATAGTATGTTTGGAGCTTCAGAATGGCTGGCTCTTTCATTTTCTGCCCTCGTGGTAATGGCACATGCAGCTTCCGTAGTGCGGTGCCAAGTCCCTTGGCCACATGATTAGTGCAGTCTTCTTTTTCTATATTGACAGCACCATAGACTCTTGACTCTGCAACTGCACTATATGCTTTGCTGTCACCGTCACTCAAGAATGTCATGAAATGCAGTGGGGTGTCATAAGTCAATGTTCTCTGCCAAATGCGCATTGCAGCCTCCGTTTCCATGGCATGGGAGGAACAGTCTGCATTTTTTTTCACAGACTGGGCCATGGAATGCCTGCCACACTTCCTCGTCTGGGCCCATATCCTTGTGCCTACTGCATGTCAGGCAGTAATTTGATATGACCTCGAAGTCTAAGCAGAGGCCAGTATCTAAGGAGATAACTGCGCCAATCCCGTTGCGGCTTTTGTGGCCCCTCTTCTGCCAAGTGCCGTCGAACATAACAGCCACATCAGTTTCGCCTGCTACTTCTTTCGTCAACTCTCTGGATCGGCGCAAGTTTTCACTCACAGCTGCCATGGCAGCGGTGTGCACCTTCTTTGCTATCGAAAAAAAATCCTCGGTGGTGCATTGGCTTTGGGAGTCCAATAATGGAGCAAAATCTCGACAATTGCTCATGCCCAATGCCGACAGCGCGTGCAGCCACCACCGTCTTCACATTTACAGCGAAACTATATCGGGAGCTCCCACTGTCGTACTGTTGGCTCACTCGGCTGCTGCCGTCCGTCGTAACACGCAGTGACGTATAGGAGCACGAAAGAACAGTCGCTGAGCATTCGCTGTTTTCGCAAGGAAGTTCGAGGAGCGATGAAAGTCCCTTGTGCTTTTCTGCCGGCTCCCGAACACAAGTTTTTGAATACCGCAAGCAGGGCATGCCGCACCTGCCACAAGTGCCGTCAGCAAGAGGGTGTCGCACAAAACTGTCGTTGCACAAACCTCATCGCGCTGTCTTTCGTCTTTTTCGAAGAAGCCGAGCTTCTTTTCCGAAGCACTGACGAAAGAAAGCGCAGCGTCAATCTCTTCATCGCAGCCACTGTCGCTCGCGCACTCGTCGATGCCGCCGTCAGGCCTAGCACACGTAGGCGCGTTCTCGTTCGTCACCGTCGTTCGGGGCGCTTTACGCCGCCTTCCCTTGAACTTGTGCTTCGTTCGAAACTTCTGCGGTCTCACGTTGCACTTTTTCGGGCTTGTCATCGCGGAAATATGCGTAGACGCGCAGAAAAGCAGACGGACCAAATGCCGATGGCCGCCACCAACACAGCTGACAATGACTCAGTAGCCAATGGCGATGCGGCTTAGGGTGCCGCGCGTTTCAAACCGCTCAAACCACGTGATAAAAAGTTCTCGTTTTTAATTTTTTTTTTGCCCACGTACGAAACTGGCGGTCCTCGGAGCTGTAAGAAGCAGGCCGGACGCAACTTTCCCGACCGATCGCGATGGCGGGCGGCACTGCGACGGGGAGCAGCGCGCAGTCAAAGATGGCCAATATCGGCGCAAATTCACGAAATTTTGAGCCACCGCGATGCCTTCATACACATTTTTTTGCATTTTGCGGTTCGAATTTAGTTTTGAAATTTTCACAGATGAAAGAAGAAGGTTTGAAGATTACAATGCAAAAAAAATCATAAATACGAGAAATTTCGCTAAAAACGTGATTTTTCGACTCTCATCTCCCCTTAAGCCTTTTTGTTTACTAAAGATTAACACACTCGTCGACATCTAAAGTTCCGCTCTAACCATTTCACCACCCATAAAGATCTGCAGCTCCAAAAGAAAAGCAAACCAGAGAAGAAGAAGAAGCAGTACACAAGGTACTTCACCCACTGTGTACGACTTTGACGGGTCGACTTGAGCAATTTCCCTTTTCATCCATTTCTGCAAAGAATTCCACCAACAATAACGCCTCTTTCAAGCAACCCTACTGCATCCCGGTCCCAAGCATCCAGAGAAACATCGAGCAACTGGTGATGTTGGGGAAGGAAGGTACCATATGGGTGGCACACAATCCTGCATCAACCCTTGGCTGATCCTTTTTCTGCCCTGAACACCGGCCAACAAAAGAAGGATTCCCTGCACTGACTGCCACGTTGCTTACATCGGTGAGCAGAAAATAAGGGTACCTACACACCAAAGCGGCGTAAGTAACTTCAATGCAGAACAGAACACAGCGAAAAACCGGACCATCGCATCAACTTCGACGCAGCCTTGAGTCATAGAAACGTGAGGTACCCGCACCAAAAGACAGTACCTGGCATATACAAGCAACAACTGGAAACATTAACCACTCGATGGAGACCCTGCCAAGCATGTATGTAGACAGCCTCCAGAACCAATGGAGAAGACGGTGCACTGACAAGAGCGTCGGGCAGAATGATAGAGGAGAGGGAGACAACCACTAAAAAACACTAGCTTCAGGACCGGCGGGACATTCACCTCCTGAAGAAGAGACCAAACGGGTCTTAAAATGTAAGGCCAGTCTTTGAAATCGCAAACTGAAAAACTTGGCTTGTGCGAATACCCAAATGCTTCGAATATATGAATGAATATTGCAGTATTTGAACTCGCTTCGAAGTGAATTTAAATTATTGAATATTTCCAAGTATTCAAAACAAATTAATAGATCTATATAAGCCCGCATGTAACCTCATGAAGAGGTCATTTTGCTGCAGTGGAGGGGTGCTAAGCCGTGAATGCATTTATGTAACTGTATATTTGTTTGCATGTAACCCACTGTAAGGGTGGTTTTACTGCAGTAATGTGATGCCAAGCTGTGAAAACAGCTATTCAAGAGAAATTTGCACTGCCGCCAAGCCCCAGTTCAAGGTTAAATGAAGATATTGCCTTTTTTGGTTATAGCGTGAAAACTACGAAGACGAAAAACAGAGGAATCAAACTGCCTTCGTCATTTTAACGCTGTAACCAAAAATGCATCCATACTAACTAGCCCAACTTTCAATACTATTGCAAAGACCCTCTCATCGATTCAATCTATAGGTTGCACGCTTATTATACCAACTTATAAGCTCCATGTATTACAAATTTTAAAAACTTCATATAATTTGAGGGGTATTACTTTCATTCCACCAAAATTCGGATCCAGCTGCCATTACAAGTCGTTTTCACTTGCTTTGAAGCAAAAAAAAAAAAAATGGCATTTGCACATGCCTTGCTTCAATTAAAAAAAATATTATGTAGGTAAGATGGGACATAACAAATATGCCCATTTTTCTTCATAACATGAGATATGTATACTATTTGAATTTAATTAAAAACTACTTGACCAAATCACTATTCATTTCAAATTTGCTTAAAACCTGAAATTCACTATGTGCACAAGCCTACTTAAAACCAAACTTGATTGATACGTGGGGTTTAACGTCCCAAAACCACCATACGATTACGAGAGACGCCGTAGTGGAAGGCTCCGGAAATTTTGACCACTTGGGGTTCTTCAAATCTGAGCACACGGGCCTACATTTTTGCCTCCATCGGAAATGCAGCCGCCGCAGCCGGGATTCGATCCCGTGACCTGCGGGTCAGCAGCCGAGTACCTTAGCCACTAGACCACCGCGGCGGGGCCTTAAAACCAAACTTGGCTGTAGAGCTATTTTATTCTTAATAATTTTACCCAATCAGAGTGACATTTCTCTGTCAAGTATGTTTACCTTTAAAACAAGTAGTTGCCTCTTTAAAAAAGCTCCACCAATCAGTAAAATATAACCCTAAAAAGCGGAATACCTTTCCCTGGTCTCTCAAAGCCCAATTTAATGAGTCCACTCTACTCCTCCCCAACAATGTGAACACTAAATATGGGAAGCATGGCTTCTTCCATTTTTCGCAAAACACTTGGCAAGCACTCATTTATGCACAACAGCTGCAGAAACATGTTTTGCTTGGGGGCCAGAATATTCTGAACAAGTGGTGCCCTTACAAAGTTTAAGATTAGCTAACTTGTAAGAACATAATATTAATGAGAACTTGTAACTGGCACATAGGCCATAAAACAACACTGTTTTTTTTTTCCACTTACCAATAAAGCTTGGAACGCTCTACTAAGGCGTATGCATCTCCATCCCCAATAAATGCATGACAGCTTGCACAGCAGAAGCATTCGGGATGAAATTTATGGTCCCCTGCAACCTAAAAAATTTGCATACAAATTATAAGACTCACAGAAGCTTGCAGTGCCTTAAACCATACTACCCTAGCTATTTTCTTAAGGTAGCCAGGTAATGCCAGAATACCATGACCAAACCATGACATGAAATGCTTACACATAAAAATCATAAACATTCGTATATAATAAGTCTGACATAAATTCATTATACAGGTTACATCAATACAAAGCTGCATCCTATAATGTTCACAATATAAGTGGGATGTAAGAAATATTTCATCCGACAAGTCATCTTGTGGCAGAGGAATTTGACAGCGTTACAAAGGGTTTGATGAGGCAGTAGTAAAGCACAGCACAAAAGATGACTTAGCCCTTCATAGTATGCAAGTTTACTTTGGTGTGAAATCAACCATGTTAAAAAAAAAGCTTGAAAGTACAACTAAGAGCAGCCGATTTTATGAAACGTCTTTTCGAATGGTACTCATCCCGCTTACCATGACTGGGCCAGTAATAATCTCCGAGCAGTTCTGGCACACTTCGCCGTAGTTGTACAGGTAGTCACTCTTGCAGAACAGCATCCCATCCTTCTCAAAGTACCAGCTGCTCAACAAAGTGTCGCACACGGAGCACCTGGAAAGCAGTAAATAAAGGTCCTCAGTGACATCAATCAAGTCAGTTCAAGTTAAGCAAATGCTGCAATAGTATGTACACCATCATTGTAACAAGATCCACTTTCAAGGACACAAGGACATTGAAGTGAAACATTACATCGGTTAAGACAGTTAAGCCATCCTTTAATAGCTGTTGTGATTAATTTTGCCATCGTAAATTAATTAGAAGGAAAAAAGAAGGTCAAACACACGGTAAGCAATTTCTGTGAATAAACAATTAACTAGGCCCTACAAATGCCGTGAAAATCTACGATATTGCACCAAGCTGCTAGGGAAACCTCAAGGTAGAGCTGCCAGCTCTATTTCTTCTTGCATGTATACCAGATTATGAAGTGCCTTCTCACTGTAACAGTGATGCTTTCAATAATGGTGAACTGTGGTTTACTAATGGGAGATAAAATTTTTCTTTTTAGTGTCAATTTATTAAAAAGATTTAATTATTGACGTTTTTTTTAATTATTTAAGAAGCCCACCACAAGCATCTTAGAATTAAAAGTAGAAACGTGTATTTTCTCTTTAAGGAGCGTGTGTAGCAAAACAAAGTCCAGCAAGCGAAATATGCCCACTGCCTCCCCAGGCACGTTTTATATGCACAGGAAACGGACATGCCGCTAGAAGTGTTGTTGCTCATCATATGAGCGGCTAATGTACTACGCACAAGTTAAAAAGTGAAACCGACCGTTAAGACGCGGCTGAGAACACCTGCTCAAGGCTTATGAACTTGTGCTTCTAGTTAAAGTCTGCTACAATGCTTAAGTTTGAAACAGCACCACAGAATTCCTATGACTGCAAGTGCACACGGGCAAAGGGCAGCGTAGCCCGTAGTCAGCGCAGTAGTACATCCCGTACTGGTGATGTGCACCGCAGCTGATAAACTTCCTGCAGAGATGTGACCCACAGGACGATATGCGTTGGAGGAATGCGCACTTCCCGGTCGATTGATACGCGATGACTCACGAGGAACAGAGCGTCTACGGCAGCAACGATGTAATCCCGGTTACACTCGCACGCGAACGACGCCACCGCGTTGTGCATGTGGGCTTGGTGGCCGACGGAAAGCGTAGTGAGAACTCGCGGCGAAGGATCTCACCCATTTCCGCGAAGCAAACCAGCGTGAAACATTCGGAAACGCAGGGTCGCACGCAAGGTAGCCCTTGGGGCACGGGTACGGAAGACGGCACAAACTAAGTTCGACCTGCCACGACTCTGAGCGTGACAACATAACAAACACACTGAATCCACGCTAACATGGGCGAAACACGAATTACACGATTGTTGACACGAAGTCAAACCAAAATACTAAAACAAATAAGAATACGTGGCCACCAACTTTCGAAGCTTTCACACATCGAAAGACCACTGCATTACCAAAGAAAAGGACGCTTACGTTACTCGCTCGAAAAACAAGGTTAATCAACCACTCTTACCTGAAACAATCGGTATGCCACACCGTCTGAAGAGCCTGTAGACACTCGTCGTCCTCAATCTCATTCAGGCAGCTTTCACAAGTCAACGGCTGCTCTGCTGTCAAGTCGAAATTCCATCGTTATTCAGTGTTAGTGAAGCAGGTTAGCCGTTGTTAGTTAAGAGCTGCCCGTTATTTTGGAAGCAAATTTGGATAATAACCTGATGTGTCCATGCTCCACTACATCTAGATTTCGATATTAGTACGACATTGACAGCGCATGCGCTCCGAAGGCACGCCCGCCGCGCCATCTGTGTTCGCTATTGTTTTCATTTGGGGTCGCTTAACTTGCTTTCGGATTTGCCGTGGTCATGACTGGTTCCGGCGACTTGGGTTTCCTCCGCTTCCCGTAGAATGAAGACACGAAAATAGCATGAGCGCAAGTTAACCTCGATTGTCTGCGGTGAGCGAAAAGAGACCAAGTTTCGCAAATCTTTTGGGGCTATACAAAGCGGTGGATAAAATAACCGACTGGCAGCGATCGGAGTCGTGTACCCAAGCTCGCTACTGAATTTAGAAGCCGATTAAAATATCTTGGCGTGATAGCCTCTTCACGGTCATGGTTAGAGGTCGGTACCCTTAATGTGCGACACGGTTAAGCGCTCCTGAATTCTGAGGTCATTTCGGAAAAGTGACCACTGTAGCCGCTGTTGTTTTCGCCGAAGTGACTAGCTTGCGAAAACAAAAGCGATTCTCTGGCTGAAGCGAAAGCTTTAATAGCGTAAATGTACGACAGAACGGGTTCTGTCCTGCGCTTTTTATCTGCATCCTGTGTCCGTGCTGTTTCCAGTGCTAGGCAAGATTTACGCGCCACAACGAGCGCCAACTGAACTCGCTTCTCTCAGCCATATCTTCATTCCTAAAGTTGGACTTTTTTTTTTTTTTTTTTTCAGGTAGACCAAAGCCTGAGTAATGGTCGCCCCGAAGTTGCAAGAGCGACAAGAGGATGATCTTCCTGACAAGGATGTTGCTAAAGAGTTCTACGCCAAGTATGAGCCGAAAGAGATTCTGGGAAGGTACTTTTGTTTTTACTCTGCTCGGGGAAACGATGGAACCGCGTTGAAGCGTTCCCAATTAGGACGATTACCCGGTGACGTTAGTCAGCGAAACTACGCGATCTGTTGGTGCAAACTTACAGTACGTTCCCCCCCCCCCCCCTTGTGAACGAAGTTCTGTATGGCTCCTAATCGGGGAAGGGTTTAAGCAGCGTAGGTGTACATTAAGCAACACATTCAAGCAACGCCGGGGTACATTACTTGCAAATGCTATGTTTCGCTGATATTCGCAACGGATGGATGAATAGATTGGGTAGATTAATAAGGCTGTACCCTATAGATCGGGCGGTGGCTAACGCCACCTAGCCGTAATACTTAGTGAACTAAAGCCTAGATTTATCTATTTTTTCCCTTTAAATAGTGAAGTTGAGGACTAGTACTTTGCAGTGAAGGATTTAATTTTCACTTGTGCCTTTACTTTAAGCCACCAATCAGTTAACCTCCTTCTAGTTAATTCTACCCGCTTAAAGTCTATTTTGCCCTCCCTGTCCCTAAACCCCAGTGCTTTGAAAAACTCTGCCCCATCATCCTGAACTATAGGGTGAAGCCCTTTACAGAACATTATCAAGTGTTTGGCAGTTTCCTCATCCTCTGCACACGCACTGCATACCGTGTCTACCCCTTCCTATTTCGCCTGGTATGTCTTGGTTCGCAATACTCCCGTCCTGGCCTCAAAGAGTAGAGAACTACCCCGAGTATTATTATAAATTCTTTCCATGGCAATTTAATGCTTAAAAATACAATAGATCTCTAGTGCGGACTTCTTAATCATGCCAATTATCCACATATCGGTCTCCGTTTCCTTCACCTTCTTTTTAACCGATAGTTCTTTTTGGTTTGGCCCCCTGCTGTTTTCTATGTATTTACCCGTCAATTTTCTGGTTTGCTTCCTCCATTTTGTATCAACATTCTTCATGTACAAGTAGCTGAAAACCTTCCTAGCCCAATGCTCCTCCCCCATTTCTCTCTATCGCTTCTCAAATTTTATCTTGCTGCTAGCTTCCCTGCCCTCAAATGATGTCCTTCCCTTATCACCTTGTACTCGCTGATTTGGTGTATTCCCGTGAGCTCCCAAAGCAAGCCTACCTATTCCACGTTGCTTAATTTATAATCTTGCTTGAACTTCTGATTTCATGCACAAGACCGCATTGCCGAACGTTATACCAGGAACCATGACCCCTTTCCATATTCCTCTCACAACATCATACCTCTTGTAATTCCACAGTGCCCTATTTTCCATCACTGCGGCATTCCTGTTACCTTTAGTTGTTACGTATGTTTTGTGATCCCTTAGATACTCGGTCCCATTGCTTATCCATACGCCCAGATATTTGTATTTATCTGTTTTTTCTAGCGTGACATCCTGTATCCTAAGCTCACTACCTTCATTATCCTTAAATAATGACTGCTGATTTTTCCTTACTGAATCTGAAATCTAACCTATCTCCCTCATTACTGCAGATGTCCATCAATCTCTGCAAATCTTCCTTGTTGTTGACCATTAGCACTATATCATCTGCGTACAGTAATGCTGGTAGTGCCTGTTCAATGAGTTTTCCTTGTTTGACAAAAGAGAGGTTGAAGCCAAGTTCACTTCCCTCTAATTTGGCCTCTAATCCTTGTAGGTACATCATGAATAACAAGGGAGACAAAGGACACTCCTGCCTAAGCCCCCGTTTTATCTCTGTGGGCTTGTATACCTGTTTTTCCCACTTTATAACTACCTTGTTACTTTTATAGATATCCTTTAAAAGATTAGTGACTCCATCTTCCACACCTAGTGTGTCCAGTATTCCCCACAAGTTCTCTTGAACCACGCTATCGTACGCTCTCTTGATGTGGAAAAATGCTAGCCACAGGGGCCTGTGTTCCTTTTCTGCTATTTCGATGCACTGCGTCAGTGAGAACAGATTGTCTTCCAACTTCCTCTGTTTTCGAATCCCATTCTGCAGTTCCCCCAGCACACCGTCATCCTCTATCCATGCCTAATCTGCCTCGCCAGCCTGTAGACTACTGATGTCACTGTTATAGGAAAGTAGTTGTTTATGTCAGCTTTGTCCCCCTTTCCTTTATAGATCATGCTCATCCTGCTAAGTTTCCATTCATCAGGGAGTTCACCAATGATTATTATTTAGCTCACTGCCTCTCTCAAAGTCTGCTTAGATTTCGGACCCAATGTCTTTATCAGCATAATTGGAATGCCATCTGGGCCTGTTGATGTACTACTAGGAACCCTCTTCTCAGTCCTTTCCCACTCTCATTGTGAAAATGGAGCCATTGCGCCACTTGATCCATCCTTGTCTATTGTGGTGCATAAGGCACTTCTTTGTTGAAATTTTTCTGTCACCCTTGTTCTACGGTAACTGTGCAACTTTCATGTACCGTAGCGCCGTCTAGGAAGCTATGAAGGACTTTCCTCAGATGGCAAATGTCTCTCTTAGTTGTATATCGTCGGTGGTCGCTTTGCAGCATAAGCGCAACGCTTCTGGTTCCACAAGGTGAATGGAAAACAAAAAGGCCACTGATTTTATTGTGAGCATCACAGCATATAGCAGGAGGCAAAGCTAGCTACTCCTTCAGATCAGTTCCTCAAAAAGCCGTTAATGGTGAAGCGGGTTAAACTTCACAAGTATAAAAGGGTTGACTCTTGGACAAGTTGGTGGGGATTTGCTTCAAAAAGTGTCAACAGCGCAAGTAAATAACCAAGGCACATGAATGTATACAATGCCTATTTTGTGTTCGAGTGTAGTATACTGCCAGAGTTGCAGTTCATATCGCATTTCTTGCATTTTTTTTCCCGCTCGACATGGCTGCAGTGCAAACTGTACGAGAACGGATTATAAATGTGTCATATAATGAAAGGTCCAGTTTAAAAATGTCCCAACGCATCATTCCACATCTGACGTACCTGTGAAGTCTCTTCGTGACCTCCACATCTGCTGCACATTTAGTTCGGTATTGCCTGCTGATGGTGCTGTTCACTTAATTAAGTTGCTTTTGCATTATGAAGCAGGAACAGCGTGATATTTTCTATACAGGGACACTCAAAAGAAGGAACACTGACAAGCGCCGTTTTCAACTGAACTTTTGTTTAACACTAAAGGAAAATATATACAGGAAAACATTGAAAACATAAAAGCATGACAAGGTTTTTCTTTCAAGGGATGATCACGCGCTCTTCCAAAAGGCGATAATTCTTTCGTTTGTAGACAGACTGATGCCATGCTAATGCATATTTGCTGGTCTGTGTCACTTTTTTTGTGTCTCCCCATGTAGAACATCCCCTGTTAATACTTGCCTTGTTAATAATGCTATTCGCATCATCCCTGACCTGTACCATGTTATATATTTCAATTCTGAAGCACCGAAGACGTAGCATGATAGACAGAACATCATCATTTCATTAACGTGAAAATTGTGTCTTGTAGCTGGTTTTATACCCTGCTTGCCAACATCTTGCGGCATTCCTTTTTCTCTTTGTGTTTCTTTAATCAGAAAAGCACAATGAAATCATATATGCATTTGCACATGCCTCAGCTTGTTCTTGTGTTTAGGTCTCGAAGGCAGCCCTTTTTTTTTCTCGTCTATTTTCTTTTGGGCTTTGAAGTGTGCTGAACAAGCGAAGTGCCAGAATGTGATGCAAGCAAAAATGAGATAAAGCACATGTCTGAGAATATCTCTGATATTACTGAGGGATTTTTACTGAGACACCCGATATCATATTGTGCTAACAACGCAGTTGCAAAAACAAAATCAAAATGTGATTAAGGGCACTGGGCAGGCCTATAGCTATAGTACATCCCATGCATTTCTGGTCATTTTGAGGTAGCGTTTTTTCAGTGACTAAAAATAATATTGACGTAATCCCACACATCATCATCTTCCAATTTTTCCACTCTCTCAACTAAAGCAGATTTTTAAAGTCTAACTAATAATATAACTTCTGCAAATTTTTTACCACTAGGACCTAAATTTTTAGTTGATTGACAGCTATGAAAATTTACTGCACAAAAACTGTAAATTTCATGATTTCTGTGCTGCTTCAGTAGCTGTATGCATTTATGCAGAATACAAGAAAAAATAATCTACTGATTATCTTGGAATGCATTGTAAATAATGGTATCAAAGTGATAAAAAATTGGTTTTCAGGTAATCGAGAATAAATTTAGAAAACGGCTGAAAAGCGAGCACACTTTGTCACTAGCATGGTTCAACTATTTTATTTAGTGGCTACAAGCTTGGTGATCATTGCCAAAGACAGTTTTTCACTTTGGAGCTTCCCGTAACATTTGCCTTGCTTCTTTTGTGAGCTGTCATGCAGCTCTATCTACAATGTATTGTCAAATATGGTCAATTTTTCCCAGCATATTGACTGTAGTTTGACCAGGCTTCAATTCTAACTATTTGAGAATTTGGTTCGTGTGATACTGCCATCATTAAATGCAAGAACGGTATGCAAAGTGGCAATCCTTAGTGCTCTGAACCTCTCTGCAACACAATTCCCAACTCTTGCACCGAGCTGTTTGCATGCTCTGTTCAGTCTAATTGCATCACAAATATCAGCCATGTGCATTAGAGCCTACCTATTGTCAACCTGCATGATTTTCACATCGAAGGACTCAGAAAATGCTGTGAGGTTCAACGATGAAGAGCTTGCTGGATTTAGCGTTCAGCACTTCAGAACATCACTGGCATTTATTCAAATTTTTGACAGAAATGTATTTTTTGCCGCGAAATACACTCTAGCTGAAGACCCTTACCCTCAGCATATAAACTTTTCGACAAGTGTGACAAACACATGGTGTGATGAAGCTAGGAGTTGAAAGTGTTTGAACCAATGTGCTTTGAAGACATAGTGTGAATACAATGGTGCACAGAGTCTTCAGACTTCCTCTGAAGTTGCCTGACAATTTCCTTTACACAACTAACTCTAGACAAACGTTTTGGCTCTCGTAATTGAAGATTTAAAAAAAATACATCATAAGCTTAGAGCCCAGGCGACGGGCTTGCCCTAGGGTGCATATTCATTCACTACATGCTTTCGAAAAAACAACTTTTGAGATGCAAAAAGTGCTGTTTAACATAATAACATGAATGTGCAAAATATGCTCGAGCCACTCTTCTCAAATTGCAAAGAAAAAAAAGTTATATTTTTAAAAATTTTGCTCTACCCTGTGTGCTTAAGTGCTCCAAGCAACGCAATGGGTGAATTCTTTATAATTCTGTGCACTTCATCCAGAGGGAAGGCGGTCCAAACTCTCTGTCAGCGCCCCTCCCTACAGCCAACCTCCTATCACCAATTGGGACAAATGAGTGAAACCACCGTGAGCATACATTAACAGTATTTATGCTGCGAAGGGCCTTTTCTGTCAGTAAAAGCAAAAAATTCATCACCACACCACCCTCTCCTATGTTACTTTAGACGACCACCCCCCTAAAATGCGTGGCTGGATCAGCCCCTGATCTTCTTGAAATGTTTTAATCACATACCCAAAATTCTTTCACTTATCACAATATACTTTCACAAAAATAGGAGGGCAATCAAAATGCAAAAATCTGCGCTCTTCACCCAGTGTGAACATTCCTAAACTGTCTGTCGCCTACTAGAGTCCCAATGACGGCCATGTTGATGTACAGTTGTGCTGTTTTTGAGGCCATGAAACTTGCGAATAGTTTCAAAAATGTGACATTTTGTGTATTAAACTGTGTGGTGAAATTAAGCTGACAATGTGCAGGAAATATTCATCATTTTCCTACCACAGTTCTAGCATTTTTTATATTAAAAGCACTTAAAGTATTTTGTAGCTATGAATTGCAGCCTGTACATAATCTTATGTTAAACCTTTGACATCCTCTTATTGCAGGGGGATAAGTAGTACAGTGAGACGATGCATCAACAAGGAAACCGGCGAGGAGTTTGCTGCAAAAATTATCGACATTAGCTCCGATACTGATGGGTCAGGGCCAACAAGTCTCTATCAGGCAACGAAAAGGGAAATCGATGTGCTGAAGAGAGTGGCTGGTCACCCCTACATTAGTAAGTGCTATACTTGTCTCACTAATTGAAGATACTGCCTTACATGGACCATGCAGTCATTCAGCTCATTCGTGTATCACAAAATAACAAATGAGAGCAACTAATTTGCAGATTATGTTTAGTGTCACTTCATGTTTTTCACTCGGGGATTTTAGTTTGTTCATATAGACTTTTTGTAAGAACAATGCATTGGTGATAGTGAGTGGAGTCAAGGTGATGGCGAGTGGCAGTCAACTGGAGGGTGATGGTCAGAGTACGAAAACATGTGGCCAGGTTTCTGAAATGCTGAAAATGATGTGCTTGACAATATATATGAGTCGGGTCAAAGCTGGGGTGGTAGGGCGGTGCACGGTAGTAACAAAGTCGTGCCATCTGGTATGGTGTGATTTGTCTGACTTTTGCTGTTGGTTGATTGGTTTTTTTCTTAAGAGGGCCAGGACACAGCCACCCTCTTTTCAACTAAATATAGAACTAAAGGTTCTGGTTCCGACGGCTGAATTCCCACAGTGGTCACGTAGGCCATTGCAAAACATATTGGCTGGTTATCGAGAGTGAACTGTTGTCCACTACTTTGTGGGTACACTCCCTGATTGGAGTGAGGAGTTAGTTGCAGTGACACGGTTGATAGATAAGGGGCTAAGCCCGAGATGGGAGCCGTCCAACATCTTAGACATAGCTCAGAGGCATACTCACCCTGGCACAGGCAACAGAGGTCATGGGCAGAAGGCAAAGCTGCGCTATCTAGCTGTGGTATAACCTGGCAACTGTTCACTGGAAAAGGCAACAGTGTGTAGGCTTACGCCACTGGAGTGAAGGAAAGAGACGCCTGAATGACAATCGACTCCAGCAGGGAACGTGAGCCTTCGCTTCACGTACCACCGTCAAGCGGTGTTTTTATTTTCTTCCTTTTGCGGTCGCGCGCTCCCCGTTTCGCGCGCCGTCAAAACGAGAGCGCTACAAGTAGTCACTCGGCTCTTGATAGTAGCAATAGTAGCAAAAGCTGATGAGCGAGTTCAGCATGAACAAAGTCCTTGATCTGTCAGGGCAGTGACTCAAGGTTTGGAGTAAGATTCCTAGGACTTAAACCAATCCTCACCGTTGTTCTCACTGGGCTCTCACTGATGCTGGGTACTAGCACATGCCAGTAGTGAAGCCGGGTTGGATGTCGGGTGGCTTGACAGACTGCTATGTTTGTGAAATCCGAAGACTGCTTTCTAAAATAACCCTGGCTTTAAGGACATTATGCCTGATGAAGTTCGAGCAGTGTGTTTTAATGGTGCCGTTTATATCAGCAAAAAACGAATTCAGATCCTCGTGTTATCCCTCGTTTTCCTGATCTTTTAGCACGCAGTATTTTCATTGTTCACCTTTTCAGGCAGAGAGCCAAGTTTGCATCAAGCCTACATAGCGGGGGCCGCACGGTGAATCAGTGGGGAGGGGGGGATTTTGCTGGCAAGTAGAAAAAAAGTTTTACGAATTAACATAATGTACAAATTTGGAATAAAATTATGTTTATTTCCGGCATGCCCGTCTCAAGGTTGCGATTTACAATCATATGTTGCAAGCGAAATCCTTATCAGATGTCAAAACTGCCACGTAGGCCAAGTTCTCATGTCATGCCGAAAGGCGCATGACACTGCTCTGCAAGCTGCATGCGGCTGCAGCTTGCCCATCCCTGATGTTGGCAATTTCAGGGCGGGGAGCAGCCTCCACTGAATTGTGCAAGTGTTGACGTCCTTCTTTTTTGTGAGCTGTTTTTAACAATGTGCCAACTGGCCCCTAAATGTGTGCTACCAAAATATGACAAGCAATGGGCTAAGAGCAATTCTACCTGTAACAGAAAAAGCAAGGGACTCTTTAACAAGTTTTTGCAGTCCCACAAGTGTGTTCTTTGTAATAAACATATCTCTTATAACAAATAAACTTTCAAACTTCAAAGAACTGGACTGGCACTGGCAATATTGCAGCAAACACAATCTACAGCTCATGCGTCACTTTGGGCTGGCAATGTGGCTGCAGCTATGGGCATTCCTATTCAATGCAGTATATTGTCGCAGGAAAAATGCTGAGGATAACAATTGAAGTGCTGAGCAGAGCGCGCTTGAATTGCGGCAGCATTGTGCGTTTTGTTGTTAAGTATATGCTCTGTGTATAGATTTTTCCCCGTAACAATGTTATAAAGCTGGTATATTTTGGGGTCATATTTTCCATGTTTACACAAGTGTAAGAGGATTATTTAACCATATTTACAGAATATTTTATGTGCAAACATCTTTTACAGTGATTAGCTGAATTCCTGTCCATATGTCCTCCTTTTTTTGCAGTTGAGCTGCATGATGTGTTTGAATCCACAACATTCATTTTCTTGGTGTTGGAGCTGTAAGTACGTTTTTTTTTTTCTTCCCAGAATCAATTGCTTCTTGATAGCACTTTAGCATACAGAACTTAAATTTGCTGGGATATACAGCGTGTGACATGAACTCGCATCAGCAATTCACCTGGTCCGCACTTGGTGTAGATCATCATCATCATCAGCCTGACTACGTCCACTGCAGGACAAAGGCCTCTCCTATGTTCCGCCAGTTAGCCCAGTCCTGTGCTTGCTGCTGCCAATTTATGCCCGCAAACTTCTATCTGCCCACCTAACCTTCTGTCTCCCCCTAACCCGCTTGCCTTCTCTGGGAATCCAGTTAGTTACCCTCAATGACCAGCGATTATCCTGTCTACGCGCTACATGCTTGGCCCATGTCCATTTCTTCTTCTTGATTTCAGCTATGATATCCTTAACCCCCGTTTGTTCCCTAATCTACTCTGCTCTCTTCTTGTCTCTTAAGGTTACACCTACCATTTTTCTTTCCATTGCTCACTGCGTCGTCCTCAATTTAAGCTGAACCCTTTTTGTAAGTCTCCAGGTTTCTGCTCCGTAGCTAAGTACCGGCAAGATACAGCTGTTATATACCTTCCTCTTCAGGGATAGTGGCAATCTACCTGTCATAATTTGAGAGTGTTTGCCAAATGTGCTCCACCCAATTCTTATTCTTCTAGTTACTTCAGTCTCGTGGTTAGGCTCTGCGGTTATTACCTGCCCTAAGTAGACATAGGCTATACAACTTGGAAGTGCACTATTACCTATCTCGAAGCGCTGCTGTTTTCCGAGGTTGTTGCACATTACTTTCGTTTTCTGCAGATTAATTTTAAGACCCACCTTTCTGCTCTCTTTGTCTAACTCCGTAATCATGAGTTGCAATTCGTCCCCTGAGTTACTCAGCAATGCAATGTCATCGGCGAAGCGCAGGTTACTAAGATACTCTCCATTAACTCTTATCCCTAACTGTTCCCATTCTAGGCTTCTGAAAACCTCCTGTAAGCACGCGGTAAATAGCCTTCGAGAAATTGTGTCCCCCTGCCTTACACCATTCTTGATTGATATTCTGTTGCTTTCTTTATGAAGCACTATGGTAGCAGTTGATCCCGTGTAGATTCCTTCTAGGATGTTTATATATGCTTTATCGACACCCTGATTCCGCAGTGTCTGCATGACGGCTGATATTTCTACTGAATGAAACGCCTTCTCGTAATCTATGAAGGCTATGTATAGTGGTTAGTTATATTCTGAGCATTTCTCTATTACCTGATTGAAAGTATGAATGTGGTCGATTGTTGAGTAGCCTGTTCAAAATCCTGCTTGTTCCTTTGGTTGATTGAATTCTAATGTTTTCTTTACTCCGTTAGCAATTACCTTTGTAAATAGCTTGTATACTACAGAGAGCAAGCTGATCGGCCTGTAATTCAAGTCCTTGTCATCGCCTTTCTTATGTATTAAGATGATGTTAGCGTTCTTCCAAGACTCTGGCACTCTTCCCGTCAGGAGACACCTCGTAAACAGGGTGGCTAGTTTTTCTAGCACAATCTGTCCTCCATCTTTCAGCAGATCTGATGTTACCTGATCCTCACCAGCAGTTTTGCCTCTTTGCATGCTCTCCAAAGCTTTTCTGACTTCTTCTATCATTACTTGTGGGGTGTCATCTGGGTTTCTGCTAGTTCTTAAAGTCGTGGTTGTCCCAGCTACTGTACAGATCCCTGTAGAACTCCTCCGCTATTTTAACTATCTTATCCATATTGGTAGTTATTTTGCCTTCTTTGTCCCTTAGTGCATACATCTGATTTTCGCCTATCCCAAGTTTCCTCTTCACTGCTTTGACGCTTCCTCTGTTTTTCAGAGCGTGTTCAATTCTCTCCATGTTATACCTTCTTACAGCAGATACCTTACGCCTATTAATCAACTTCGAAAGCTCTGCCAGTTCTATTTTGTCTGTTGTAGTTGAGACTTTCATGATTTCACGCTTCTTAATGAGATTCTTCGTTTCCTGGGAAAGCTTGCCAGTGTCCTGTCTAACTACCCTGCCTCCAACTTCCACTGCACACTCCATAATGATACTCGTAAGATTATCATTCATTGTATCTACGCTAAGGTTGGTGTAGATCATGGACCGATAATGCTGAATAGTTTTTCATGTCGTGATATGGCTGGGGAAGGCTGCAGCTTTTTGGACAAACTCGCAGTGTCTGGCAACCAATACACTTCCTATCTGCTCAAGGACAGTTGCATGGTTGTCAACATCTGTACACATGCTGGCACATGGTTCAGTTAATTTACAGGGGCAATCACTTTCATCTGCATTTATTTGCATATGTATTTATGCGTGGCACATGTATAACTGATTACACATTTCACCCAGAAAATAGGCTGTCCACGACTGTACTCGCCTTTATAATTGTGCTGTGAATGTCACTTGCATATGCATGCTATGTCACCTAACTTGCTGGTGTGAAGTTCGCCCAATGAAAGAACTGGGACAAAGTGTGTGCATGTATGTTCATATGCCTATTAATAGAGTTTGTGCTGGTTCACTACTTTGCGACGGCAATGGTTAGGCAAGAGAAGGGGAGCAACTGAGAACACGCGGTCGATACCAACTTTTTCTTGTATAAATTTAATGGAGAATAAAAAAAAAAGAGTTCGATCTTCCATTTTGATATCTGCATTCTTCACCGACCCAGCCACATGGCAGTGTAGGCTGTAATCGTGCCGCATTGACTATGGTGATGGGGCTCGTCAGTGCACTACTGTCGCAAGATCAAGGGGGTAGCCGTAATGTGATTATGTAATGCAGTCATAATAGTGAGGGGCCTGTCATGATAGCAACACAACAACGCTGACACTATAAAACAGTAACTATAGTGATAGGGCCTCTTAGTGTAGATACCATCAGCGCAGCAATATCTTAAAAATGAGGGGGCCGTTACTGTAAATTTGTAGTCACTTTGGACCCTATCACCATGCGGCTTTAGAAGCATAGTGGTTCGGCGCACTGTTCAAAGAGTGATAGTGCTGCAGACCGTCAGATCGAATCCCCCAACTCCTCCCCCCTCGGAAATGCGTCGACATTGGCGTTACTTGCAGGAGTCATAATTTTTCTTTTCAAAAGAAAGTTATGTTGCTGCCTGTGGTGGCTGTTAGACAGCCCTACTGTCTGGATTGCAAAGTGCTGTGGGCAATGATGCGTCATGCTGCGCTGCCCTGGTTGTAATCGCTCTGAACAAGTGAACTTTTATTTCACTTTTCAATATTGTTTCAAGTAATTATTTTAAATGATAGTCCTGTTGGAGGTTCACAGTGGAGCAATGGGAAGAGCCGCTGGTCAGTGAAAACCTGACAATCAGCTGAGTCGAGCTGACATGACCGGACTTGTAGAATAATGGCAGCCGCAGCGGAGCCTTAGCTGGTCTGAGCTCTTTAGCAATACTACAAAATAATAAGTTTCCAACATCATCACCATCAAAAGCGTGCAGGCACAGTGGTAAATACACGGTGGTAAATAACAGCGATGTCAATTTAGCCACTTTCACTATGGGCTGTGGCATTGTAATGCTGTAGGCACTGTTACTAAAGTGATTGGAACAGTTTGTAGGGTTTTTGTTCTCATGAAAAATGACGCTACAAGCTCAAAAATCACCCGTCACAGCCATTGTATCATCCAATGGCTAATTTGAGAATAGTGTGCTTGGTCGTTACTGGAGCCGCTGCAGGAGGTTGCGTACCTGCCCAAGTACACACGCTATCGTACTGAAAAGTCACGTAATGAAGGGTAAAAAAACTCAAGCTCACGAGGCACGCATGACGTGTTTTCTTTCCCCATGTCATTCCTCCCTGCTTAGCTTCCTGCGCTTTCTTAGGGACGGGAGAGGAGAGAATGCAGTTTCAACGTGCGACAAAGTTTTGTAACTCCGCTCGTACTGTGTGGTGTACACGTATCCCGAAGGAGTACGGCCACCAGCGTGGGTCCGGTCTTAGCGAGCCGCAGGGCACGCGTTAACCGTCGCCGTGGCGGGAAACACGATACTGCTCAAGTCGCAACACTTTATTGTGGCAACACCAAACGCAGTACAGCCCGTTGCAAATAGGCGCGGCGGGAAAGCTTATCCACGCCACGGGCACAAAGTACTACACAGGGGTGCCACGAGCACGTCTCCGCGGTAAAGCTGATCCATGGAGACACCGGAGCAAAGGCCCGGTTGCTCGAGCGAGGGCAAAGGCGCTCGCGTTGGCTTCGAAGGGAGTAATTATGAAATGGAAGCGCACAACGTAGAAGCAGACGGAAAGACAGGGACAAGCGCTATGTCCCTGTCTTTCCGTCTGCTTCTACGTTGTGCGCTTCCATTTCATAATTAGTCATGTATCACCAACTCGCCCAATCAACCATTTCGAAGGGAGACGGGTCGGCGTAGCGAGGCCACGCACTAGGACACCGTACCGCCCTTCGGCCGTGCGTACGCAGCGGGGCAAACAGCGGGTGAGCGTTCGCCTTGGGCGCGAGGCGCCGTCAGCGAAGTCCGACGAGCCCCCGACTGACGGGAGTCGACGGACGAAAAGATAGCGTGGCTCACCGTTTGCTGTCCCGGAGAGTATCTGACCGCTCCCGACGCAGCGCGCGGAAAACCTCTCGCGAGTCCCCGCGCGCGGCGCCACAGTCCACATCCGCTTCCGGGTGAGGGAGTTAAACGTCACTCCGCCCTTCCCAGCGCGGCAGACAGCAAGGAGGGCAGACATGTCGGGACATGAGAACGGCAGAAAAGGCGGGAAAGCCCGCTTAAAGGCAGCGGGCCAGCCTCAATTCCCACATCCCCCTCTCCTAAATTTGCCCTTTACCGGTCTGCAAAAGGCAGCTGGGCGTCTCCAATTGTGCTGGTGCCTAAGAAAGATGGCAGTCATCGCCTGTGCGTCGACTATCGCCGTCTGAATGGAGTGACTCGTAAGGATGCCTATCCGCTCCCCACGATAAACTCCATCGTAGGTAACCTGGGTGATGCACGGCACTTTACCACGCTTGACGCCTCTAAAGGTTACCTACAGGTCCGGATGGGTACCCGTGACCAGTGTAAAACTGCGTTCACGTCCCACAGAGGGTTGTTCGAGTTTACTCGTATGCCCTTTGGTCTTTGCAATGCTCCTGCGACGTTTCAAAGACTCATGGACCGCGTCCTCGGGGAAGCAAAGTGGTCATACTGCAGTTGTGCTACCTCGACGACATCGTGATTTATTCACGAACCTTCGAAGAGCACTTGGCCCATGTTGCCGATGGATACGTGTACACCACACTGGCGCCCAACGTGGGGCCGGTCTTAGCGAGCCGCAGGGCACGCGTTAACCGTCGCCGTGGCGGGAAACACGATACTGCTCAAGTCGCAACACTTTATTGTGGCAACACCAAACGCAGTACAGCCCGTTGCAAATAGGCGCGGCGGGAAAGCAAGTAGGCTTATCCACGCCACGGGCACAAAGTACTACACAGGGGTGCCACGAGCACGTCTCCGCGGTAAAGCTGATCCACGGAGACACCGGAGCAAAGGCCCGGTTGCTCGAGCGAGGGCAAAGGCGCTCGCGTTGGCTTCGAAGGGAGACGGGTCGGCGTAGCGAGGCCACGCACTAGGACACCGTACCGCCCTTCGGCCGTGCGTACGCAGCGGGGCAAACAGCGGGTGAGCGTTCGCCTTGGGCGCGAGGCGCCGTCAGCGAAGTCCGACGAGCCCCCGACTGACGGGAGTCGACGGACGAAAAGATAGCGTGGCTCACCGTTTGCTGTCCCGGAGAGTATCTGACCGCTCCCGACGCAGCGCGCGAAAAACCTCTCGCGAGTCCCCGCGCGCGGCGCCACAGTCCACATCCGCTTCCGGGTGAGGGAGTTAAACGTCACTCCGCCCTTCCCAGCGCGGCAGACAGCAAGGAGGGCAGACATGTCGGGACATGAGAACGGCAGAAAAGGCGGGAAAGCCCGCTTAAAGGCAGCGGGCCAGCCTCAATTCCCACAACTGGAAAGATTCCGAAAATTTTTGCATCATTGAATTCATGAGCCATTGGGCTCCTTTAGTAAGTTCATTGCATGTTCACTTGAAAAAGTGTTGCAGAGCCCCTTTAAAGGAGCCAATTTGATCTCTTGAAGTCTGTGCATGTGTGTGATTTCAAGCAAAGTAGTCTTGAAATCAGACTCGCATGCGTATTGTAATTTTGGGGCTTATTGAGACATACTGTCTAGCTACACAGCCCTCAGAATTGGAGCACATGTTCATCTGCACTAGGTTTTACGTTTGGAATGAGCACACATGTTCTGTTGGTTAGGGTACTTTCAGCGCGATTCTAACTGAAGTCACAAACCGATAATGTGCTGTGCACCTCCTATTGTGACTCGAAATCCAAATGGTAGGGCCGTCTAACAAGGGACACATCTACTTGACTTTCTTTTAGAAAAAAAAAGATTACGACTTTTTCATAGCAGTAAGGTCAATATTGACGCATTACCCTGAAAAAAAAAAAAGACAAGGTGACAAAGCAGCGATTGATCTGACAATTTGCAGCACTACCGCTACTTGAACAGCGCGCCGAACCACTATGGCACCAAAACCACTCGATGGCAACGTCTAAATGAGTGCAAATTTACACCAACGGGCCCCCTCACCGTAGTTACAGATTTACAGTGACTGGGCTCATCACTACAGTTGCATCACTATTAGAACGGGCCCCGTAACTGTTACGATTTCATTGCGCTGACAAGCCCCCTCACTCCTACATCGTACTCAGTGCCTAATTGTACACTGTACCAGGCTTTCTCCAATAAACGCACAATGTATTGTTGGTGCATTTCTCTCTCTTTGGCATGAAGTGGCCATAGCAGGCCATTGTAGTTGTGTTCCAGATGGTGCAACCTTACATTGCTGAACTTGTTGTTTACATGCCCTAGATGCCGGCATGGGGAACTGTTCGACTACCTTACTAGTGTTGTTGCTCTTTCGGAGAAGAAGACCAAGTAAGTCCATCTTGGCTGCTATTTCTGCAGTTACATATCGCTATTAAAGCTTTACTTGTGTTGAAGTTTCATTCACTTATGGTGCTCAACTGCGGATCAAAGGGATCAAATCTCGTGCACCCGTCTTCAATGGAGGCAAAAGGCTAGAGGTCGGTGTGTGCTCAAAGATAGGTGCACGTCTAAGAGCCCTGGGTCCCTCTGTTAAGGCATCTCTCTCCACTTCGGTTTTGATAATTGAATGGCGGTTTTGGGATGTATGCCCCACAAATTATTATTGCATTTTCATTTGCTAATGCCGAAAGAGTTTCACATGTTGCGCATGGGTTTAGAAAATGCCCCAAGCATCTGAATGAGCCTGGCTGGGCAAACTGTTGAGTGCTTTACTGCTGTGAAAACACAAGGTGGCACAGCTGGAATCATGCCTATTAGCTGGTATATTTCCAGAAGTGTTTGCAAGATCCAATAGGCTAGTGTTAGTTTTTTGTGTAAATTTGTGAGCTGCAAAGAGAGTCATTTTGAGATTTTTAGACAATCATCTGATATTGTAGGAGATTTTTCTTTTAAACATGAAACTGCGTGGAAAGGCGAATACTGAGCATGTTGTAATATTCTAGCGCTTTCAATATTTGAATAAATATTACTGTATTCAAATTCACTTTTCACTTTTGAGGTACTGATCGAAATGAATAAACAGACATATAACAAGTGTTCCAAGAGATGGGTCCAATAACCTTACATATATATACAACAGCAAAATGCAGTATTTGCTCTCCGTCTTCACAAGATGGTTGAAGACATCACTTGGGACAGTATTTAAGAAAGTTACATTAATTGACCTTTTAATTAACTATAAGAGTAAAGCAGTTAAGTCAAATGAGAGAATGTAGGTTTTTCATTTGAAAAACGATTTCGTTGTGCGGCTGTGTGGGCTTCGCTGGTAATAACAGCATGCATGATGTACATATGTTGACGAACGAGGAAGAACTGCACCTCTGTAACCATTGTCTTGAACAGTGATGCCATTCTAAACATCTACTTAGTTCGTTCATCGGTGCTTCGGTATCATTGTTGAATTTGCCTGAATTTCATTATGTACAATAACCGATAAGGGCTCTCTTTTTTTATATCTCAAAGCTGTGATGGATTTTTCGCATGAAGAATTTCAGTTCTTTCATTTGACTCTACATAATCCCACTAACTAAAAATTTAATTAATTGAACTTTCTTGCTTATTGTCCAAGATGATGTCTTTAACCATCTTAAGATGAAAGCCACTACAGAAAAAGCAATTGTGAAAATAAAGAGGAAATATTGCATTTTTCTGATTTTTTTAGGATGTTGGAACTTGTGTAAACTGCATGTAACAAGCTATAAAGGCGGTTTCACTTCACTGGAGGAGTGCTACGCCACAACCCTATTTTAAGGTTAAACGAACATATTACCTTCACGTTGATTAATCTTTTTTATTGCGATAACAATTATATGGACAGTCTCAGCTGGTTTTGCTATCATTGTCGTCGCTGCTATCATTCACGTATATATATATATATATATATATATATATATATATATATATATATATATATATACGGGGAAGGATGCGCTAGCCTCCTCTTTCTGCAGAGCGAACATCGCCTTTCCAGCTGGGGGCCGGGGTCATCTGCGCACGTGCTTGTCTCGTGAGCGAAAAGGGGGAGAGGGGGCTTGTGGTTGCCACGTTATTGCAGCAACGATCAGTGTGCGATTTGTGTCCCCACAGCTGGCGGGACGTTCTACACGCTGCGCTCTCAGCACGAAAAAACAGTGCCAAAAGTGTACCTGAAGCGATCGTGTTCTCTTACACCAGCGTTTTGTAGAGTTATGTGGGATCCGATCTAAATGAGTTGACTGCCAGCCTCACTTCATATAACATAGCAATTTGTCGCTATCACATTCATTGCTTCACATTTTAGTGAAACTGATTTTGTGCAATCATCCCTGTCACAGTCACAAACTGCACTTTACAACATGCACACAAGTATACATAGCCACCGAGAAAGCTTCTTGAGACACAGCTAGGTATCGGGCGGCTATGCACGTCTTGCATGTTCTGTACCGTTTGTCATAAGTTACTTAAGACTGATACGCAGAGAAAGAATCTGAAACATGTGGTACCGTATAAAACCGCATGCGTGCCACCACGTAATTATCTTTACTGTTCTCACCGTAAAGATAATAAACCAATACCACAGTCGCCTTGACGCCCGTGTTCGCATGACTTACCTATCGTTTGCATTTTACCTCGCCTGCCTACGTCAGCGAGTGCATTTGCACGCATTTCAAAATTTCAGGCTGCAAGAAACCAAGGTGTATGTATATTCACACACACATATACGTAAGAGTGCTTGCACAGCCGCTCCTGTTGCGTGTGTTCAGCTGCCCCTCATCAACATGATACAATTACCGCCAAGTGCTTTGCCATCCTACAGTCACCGCACACATTGGCAATTTGCAGCATGAACACATGCTCGATGCCCACACACACCGCCGATATCTTGCACGATTATATCGTCTGCGAAGTACCTCTACTGTGCTTCACGGAAGCGTGGATAGACACTGCCAGGATGCAAGTGCATCAGCCTCGCAAAACCGCCGAGCTGCTGGAGTCACCATTTACAAATGCTTCGACGGGATAACGCTTTTACTGTGCAGCGTTCCATACCAACTCAACTTGCTGCCCCATCACTTGTGGTGGTGCATGTGCTGTCAGAACATCTCACGGCTTCATTGTCGCAGCAGTCTACATCTCGCTGGGGACCTCGCGGAACGACATCATTAAATTCTTGCTCCACAATTTCAGTGCGGTGTGCCAAGAGCATGTGCTGGTGATCGTCACAGGAGCGTGAATGTACTTCAATGCGAAAATGAGTGGCTTGTGGCGTTTTCATCAGTGCTGAACTTGGACTTTACCTCCTGTCTGACGTCACACAGCCAACTACACACAACACAACGTGCCTAGATATGGTGTTCGGAAAGAGTGTTGCGTCACGAGTGCACTGCACGTCATTGCCAAGATACTTCAGTGACTAATTATGAAATGGAAGCGCACAACGTAGAAGCAGACGGAAAGACAGGGACAAGCGCTTGGATAGCGCTAGACAGGGATAGCGCTTGTCCCTGTCTTTCCGTCTGCTTCTACGTTGTGCGCTTCCATTTCATAATTAGTCATGTATCACCAACTCGCCCAATCAACCATTTTGACTTCAGTGACTACAAGGTGGTTGTCGCTGTCATCGATTGAACTGTGTTTCATTTATATTCACCAGTGTTTCTATTGAATACTATATTTGCTGCCTTTAATTAACACATGTCATTAAATACTTAATTTATCTTGCTATGTGAGTCTTGCATTACTATCATTACGAGCACATCTGAGAGAGGACCTCACCACATATAGATGCGCTCTACACATAACGAACTGCCGCCAGCGGCGACACACAACATATAACCCTTAGTACCAGCATACGCTGCCCACGGCAGGTGCTTCTCATCAACGCCGTACTATGCAAGAGCCTTGCTGTGGTCATCTACTGTGGCCACGGTGCAGGTGCCATTTTGCTACAATTTAATGTCCCTGTGCCTAACTGCACATGCTCAAGTACAGCTGGCGCCAAATGCATCAAAGTTAATTAGTCCAACCGTTTACACAGCATCAAACCATTTAAGACCCAAAAATATTCTTGGTCGCAGCATACACTTTTTCGTTCCGTTCCGATTCTACACTGTTCTCCCCCTCCAACGCCCAAGGAGACCTTAAAAAAAAAAAATGAAAAGAGAGATAGAGAACCATCGGCACTATTTTTCACCTAACCAATCGGTTGCCACCTGTCATATGGCATGTCTTCATGGGTGGCCATAGTTATTGCCCAACTGGGTGAGTTGCACGATGACTCATAACCAGGAATCGCTTCCCGATAGCATATTAAGGTAAAGAAATCGGTGAACACAGGTTGTTACTGAAGTCAGCATTTAGACAGGCAAACTTGTCTTCTTCAAAATGACTTGAAGAAGACTCCACATTATACCTGGATTGATCACAGACTTCGGCTTGGTAACATCATTTTGTATCAGTTTTATTTTTTGCAACGCTTTTTTCTGAATATTTCGAAAATCAGACGTGCTCAACCCAAAGTCCTTGGCAGTGAAAGGAAAGTGCCATTCAGTGCTCATGCTTTTAAAAGTTACTGAATACAATGAAACTGATCAATATTGAGTTGTGGTATCTATACAGGCAATTTAAAAAATCTATGTTGGTGTTTGCAACGAGTTTTCTTTTCCTTCTTTCTCTAATTGATAGACTGCTGGTTTTGCGGGTAGGATTTAGTTCTTTTTGGAATGATTTTATGGCGCCTATCATTTGGGAGATGATTCACGCCTATCATTTGTAGCAACCGTATGTCCCTGCCGCTGATGGTTCAACACATATCTTGTGCAGTGCAGTCAAACCAGAGTGTTACACTCTTTTGTGCTAAAATCAATGGCTGCTCGTGTTGCTTCTGTCTTCCTGTTTATATTGCAGCCTATTGTTTATATTGCAGCCAGTGTGCACACAAATAGGAATATTCACCGAAAATTTTGGTCTGTTCTGCGCCAAGTAATACTAACTTTCGTTTTGTCTGCTCCAAAACCTGCTGCAGAACACAGTTCCTCTTGCTCCCAATCTGCTCCAAAACAGACTTCTTCCTGCTCGAAAAATTGCTCCAAATCCTAACCTGGCTGGATCAACACTGTTATTGCCTCACCAATTATTGCCTCACCAGTGCGAGTGGAGTTGCGAAGATTTGTCGCACGCATGCAATTGCATTCTCTCTTCTGTCATATTGACGAAGGCACTGGAAGCTAAGCAGGGAGGGATGACGCAGCCGGGAAGGAAAAGCATCACGCGCGCCTTGGAATCTTGAGCACTTTTTTTTTTCCAAATGGGGCTTCTCAGCGTGATCGTGCTCACATGCGTGGACAAGTCACGGCGTCCCGCGGCAGCCACAGTAACAACCGAGCGCGCCATGCTCAAATTGGCCAATGGCTGATACAATGACTGTGACAAGAGATTTTTGAGCTTGTAGCTTCATTCGTCGAGAAAAGAGAAAACAATTTTTAAGAGACTTTAAGAATTTCTTGTCAATTCCAGGCCGCATGCTGCTCTACAATATTTGGCTTACATATTCTCGAGAGCCTCGACTCCCAATCGGCATCATTTTCTGACCATGTTTAAAAAGTGTTGCAGGGCCCCTTTAAAACGTCACCTATTTTACCGGTTATCAGTTGCATTCTTCCAAAAGTCAATTTCTGCTACTATTCAAAATTGATGCCGCTTTTCTCCCTTTGAAACAAAAAGAATTACATTTGCACATGCCTTCTGTCACTTAAAAAAAAAAAAAATGTACTGGTTGCTTGGGTAATAACAAATATGTTCACTTTTCTTTCATCGAATCACTATTTGGTGCGAACCTAAAATTTACTTTTTCGTACATGCCTAATAAATACACATCAATTTGTATTGAAATGGCTTTTAGCAAATATGTGTATGCAATCAAATCCTGGGACAACATAATTGATGTAAACATTTTTGGAAACATTGCAGTGCACACACACGGAAGGCGAGAAAACAAAAAAGGCGCGATTTTTCTGTCCACTGTGTGCGCGCCGAAATGTTTACAGGAATGTCCTGAAATCAACTCGCTCAATTTTGCCATACAATTATAATTGATGACATTTGGAAAAAAAGTGCCCTCTTGACTTTTCAAATGCAAGCCACACAATTTTGTAAAATTAAATAAATTGAACTTGTGCTTTATTGCCAGCAAGTGCTCAATGGCATCAGACTTTTGTTTGGCCGTAGCAACCTGGTCCATTCAGGCAGCCCTTGGAGCAGTGTGAGCACAATGCAATAGAACTTTGCTGTGCTATGGCCGAGCAAAACTAAGTGGTGGAGTCTGTACTGCATCTGTGCACATTGTTTGGGCACACAGGCCTCCAGCAATAGGTATTCACCAACTACAATCGTGTTCATAGCAATGAGCAGAAGGTTCATATAGAATTTGTGTGCAACATCAAAACGTGGTGGCAGCTGTTGAGAATATAGAGAGACATTTTACAGTACCCCACACACGAACATCTAATGTGCACACTGCATCGTGGTGTGTAAACAATCTCTTGCCAACCAGCTCCTAGTGGAGAAAAAAAATGCAGATTGTACGCTTGATAGTGCTAAGCGTGTGCAACATCAAGTGCTTGTGATCCCTTGCAATATTGTCAAGCTGCCATCTTCAATGTTGCAACATTCCTAAGTGAAATTTTCTTACAAATCTTGGTTTTGTGGGGAAATCTAAGTTGGAAATACAATACTTTAAGGAAATCTGTTTATTGTAAGGACATTTTTTTTCTTTTGATTTTTCAATTGAATGGAAAATTTATATACTGGCAAAGTGACCATTTTATATCAGTGTTGTGCTTCCTTTTATAAACTGATATTCATGCATAACTTTATGATTAATAGATACAGCAAGGGAAGAGTGCTCTAAATGTGACTGTTATATTGTAGTTATTCTGAGCTGTGGTTTCAATTATATGTGTTTTTCATCTACTTTGAATAAGCACAACTCCTTGTGGGTTGTGTGGTTTTAAGGAGGGCTCTACAAATAGTGAAATTTTCAAATATATTTCTTAAGAGTATTTTCTATTTATTTTAATAGATTGAACTATTGCTCACGAAGATAGAGTTAACGGTTTCATTCGCTAAAGATCAAGTTATGGTGCTTCCAACTGAACCTAATTCTCTTGAGCTGTCAAGAAGATTGATGGCTCTTACTTTTCAATAGTAGTGAAAGTGTGAATGCACTGGTATCATTCTTGTGCAGTCTTTACTATAATGCTGTGCAGTTCTTCCTCAAAGGGACTTCATGCTGGGCGAGAAAAAATGTTTTGTGGTACACGTTGCTGCTTTTTCTATGTAGGAGCATCATGAAGCAACTTTTTGAAGCTGTTGAGTTCATACATTCAAAAGGCATTGTTCATCGAGACCTAAAAGTGAGTTTCAGTTGCTGTGTAGGTGTTACGTACAGCACTTTATGGGTGTACTTTTGTAATACTTGACACCATACCCAAGCAATCCTCCTTGCATTAGGCCTCAGGTGATTTTAATCGAAAAGTCTCTTGTGTTGAGCATACTTTCCTGTGACCAGAGAAGAAGCGTTCACTCGCCATGACGGTCTGTCTAGTGCTTATAGCGCGCAACTGCTGACCTGAAGGCAGAGTTCATGTGGGTCCTTGAAATCCTTGAAAACCCTCCAATTTGAAAAATTCATTTTCAAGGCCTTGAAAGAGCTAGAATTTGCACACATCTTTGAATCATCATTGTTGCACATCTTTGAATAATCATTGTCGCAATCATTGAATTGCTTTGTAACTATTGTTTTCATTTCTTGTGTTTCATTGCACTTGTATTCAATATTTTCCCCGTAGCTCAGCTTACTACTGTTAAAAAACAGACCCCTGCAACTGCCCTTCATTGGGCTCTGGGGTCCTACCTGTATATTAATAATCAGCAATTCTATGTATTTTACACAATGCACAGCACATAATTTGTGATCCCGTATATGTAGCAGGTGGCATATGTAATGTTTCCATTACAAAAGAATGGAGATCAGTAGCTTCTGCACGGAACCAACATTGTGCATTTCTCAAAACTCAGAAAAGGCTGGTTCAGGAGAACAAGAACAAGAAATGTTGCATTGAGGAAGAGATCGAAATGCTTTCAAAAAAGAAAAAGAAACTAAAAGCCACTGTAAGGAATTGAACAGCTACAGGCAGAGACAATTAGCGACTTGATGTGCATCAAACAGCCTTAGGAACACTGCCAAGACCAAACGGGAGGAGATAGTGGATATTGATATGAAAATAAGGTGTTGTGTAATAACTATTCCTTAATTTTTCCAATCTCAATACAAGTTTGCCCCTCGTGTCCTTCTGCAAGTGATTACCTATGCAACTTTAAGAAACCATGATTGAAAGTTGCGTAGAAAAAAACATGTCATTGGAGCAGTTCTGGCCGCTGCGGCTGCATTTTTTATGGAGGCGAAATTGCTCGTGGCCCATGTACTTAGATTTAGGTGCTCATGGAAGAACCCCTGGTAGTCGAAATTTCTCCAGCCCTCCACCACGGTATCTCTCATAATCATATTGTGGTTTTTATACGTCAAACCCCATAAATTATTATATTATTATTATGGATGTGCAAATATTCAAAATCTTGAATATTTTTAGAATGGTGTGCACTATTCAATTTGATTCGCATTGGATTCTTACTATTTGAACTTCCAAAGACTAGTAGTGTCAACGTCTGAATAAAAGGGACCCCTTCAGAGTTTAGTATATTTCATCTTGTCACACACTCACACTGAGGTAAAGCTATATTTCAGGCTCGGCTAAAATATAATTTTCCAAAGACAAAAAGTTTGTCGATGACGAATGGAAAGTAGCCCCTTTAGATTTTTAATATGCTTCACCTCACCACTATTTGACAGCTTTAATTATTAATTGCCTAAGGTTCAAACATGCGAGTAATGCCACTCTGGGATACTTTGACATCGTGTCGATGGCACACACTTTCTCTAAACTTTCCTTCTGAGAAAACTGTATAATTTTCTTTGCAGAAAAATGATACAAATGGGTGAACTACAATTTTTCTTCATGAACTTTTGTTCACTATGCAGGCTTCCAAATAACAGATTGGCATATTTAGTGCAGTGTTTATTGTAAAAATTGTTGCCATATTTGATAATGCATTCATTTTACATTTTCTCCTATATTTTTCTTGCACTGAAGCTGAAACTTTTTGTTTTTGTAGCCAGAAAACATCCTTCTAGATGATGATTTGAATGTCAAGGTCACTGACTTTGGCTTTGCCACCCAGCTGGCAGAGGGTGAAACTTTGACAGGTATGCATTGAGTGCCAACTCATGAAATGAACTTTCATGCACACAGCTGAATGTAATCAAACACTGCATTTGCACCAGTGTGTTTACGTGAATGTGTTTCAAGTATTGAGAGTGTACAGTCGTGATTAAATTACCAAGTGCACATTGGCACATTAGCCACTTTAAAGAGTGCTGTGAAAAACACTAAAAGAACAAGTCCATTGCATTGAAAAGAAAGCCTTACTGAAGTAGGTTTGACATATATTTTGCATGCAGTAGCAGCATGTTCGTGCAGATACCAGTGTTGTTCTAGCTTATATTATTAGAGACATTTTTAAGAGCTCACAGAGACTACCTTGTGGTGGGAGCACCCGGGAATGTTCTGTGTCATACCATAGTGTCATTGCTTGGAAATAAGTCGAGCTGTGAGTGTAAGGTGAAGCACAGGTTGAATGTGACAGCTTCAAAGGGTGTCGGAATGGCTCACACCGTATTGGCTGAAGAGTGACTGAAGAGTGTGCACACACAGAGGCCAGTTACAAGCCAAAGTCTCGAATGATATACAGGGTGTCTCTATTATCCCGTAGCGTGATAAAAAAAAAGAACTGTGTTACGCGAAGCGAACCTAGTGCATATTCTTGTCAGTACACTTTAGTAACCACTACTAATTTTTTGTTCATGACATTTAATTAGTCATAGCTTTATTTGCAACTCAAAAACTACTTACATAATTATTGATAACTCAATAAGGCAGATGTGTGCATGTCGAAATGACATATGACTGTACTACTTTCAACAACATACTAAATGCATGCTTCTTTTTTCCTGTTGGTAACGAAAGCTCGCGAAATCTGAAATGTGACACGTGACTTGACGACTGCTCGCATTAGAAAGCAGCGCCCTTAAGCAGACTCACTTCGAGCTTGCCTATATCAATGAAAGAAATGTAGAATAAAGAAAAAAAAACTGATCGCACTATCTGCCTCTTGCACAGCCATGCTGTAATCAGAACAGTGCTCTGGCGGTATTATCAATGAGCACAGTTGGCTGTTTGATATTGGTAATGATAGTGACGGAATGAAAGTGAGGAACGCTCTCTCTGACAACAGAAAAAAGGTAAAGCGGTTGCTTGCAGTAAGCTTATTTGAGGGTGCTGTTTTCTTTTGTGGCTGCACAGTCACGTGTTTTTTTCATATTTCGCAAACTTTCTTTATTAACAAGAAAAGATGAGCACACAGTTAGTAAGTTGATGACAGTAGCCCAGATAGATGTATCAAAATGTGCACATCTGCTCCATTAAAATTTGGATAATTAGGCTAATACTTTCTGATCAATAAATACAATTTTGACTAATTAATTAGTTATCATTAAAAAATAATCAGTAGTGTATACTACAGTATACTGGAAACAATATGCAATAGGTTTGGTACATGTATTGCCGAATCTCATTTTAAAAATCGTGCCATTTCACTAAAAAATGCAAGGCAAACTGCAATTAAGCAAAACGTGCATCTGTTGATTCTGCAGAGCTCTGTGGTACACCTGGTTACCTGGCACCTGAGCTGCTGAAGGCATCTATGTATGAAAGCTCAGAGGGTTATGACAAGCAGGTTGACATGTATGTATTGAAGCACATTGCTAATACTCTTTCGTCGTATGTCATGTCGTCCTCACACTCATAATTATTGAGAGTCTGCATAATGATTGTTCCTGTACTGCAAACGGATCTTATGTGCGGTTTTTCTATTTTCAGTTGGGCTTGTGGAGTCATCATGTATACGCTGTAAGTATGGATTTGGTGGGATACTTTGTTACTATTGCAGTGTAATTGTAGTCATGAAATTTAACAATTGAGAACCTTCATGTATAAAAAAATATAATGAATTTGGTGTTTAAAGTGTATTACAGAATTTGAATTCATTTTGATACCAATTTAAATTATTAAAGACTTCGAAGTATTCGAATTGAACGAATAGGTGTCCGCTTGCATTTTTTTTGTAAAGGTGGTTTCACTGCAGTGTAGGAGTGCTAAGCCATGAAAGCATGTATAAATTCGCACTACCACAAAGTTTCACTTAAAGGCTAAATGAACATATTATCCTCGCGTCGATTCAGCATTTTTTATTTATCACTTGCTTTCAACCGAAAATCAAATCCTGCTACTGTTCAAAGTTGTTTCCACTTCCTTTGAGCTAAAGAAAATGGCATTTGCACAGGCCTTCCTTGAACTTTTGAAATGTACTGTGCAGGTCATGACAAGTACGCCCTCTTTTCTTTATATATACTATATTCAAATTAGATTTGAAACTATTCAGCGAAAATCACTATTCGCACAAAGCTTAGTGTTGTGAATTGGCATCTTCAATTCATGCCTCCTGTTGTCAAACATGAATATATGTGATGTCAACCGGTTGAAGTGGTGCAGCGACAGATTGGCACTTTGCAGAAACATTGTGAATTACTGCAGCTCTTCCACAACAGAGTAAAGCTTCTTGAGTGCTGGAGATTTAGTACATGTTTACTACCTGCAATGTTGCCCTGTTTCAAAGGAGCCCTGCAATTAGAGCATGGTCAGAAAGTGCTTCCAGCTGGTAGTAGAGGCTCCCGATAACACTCAAGCCAAATATTCGAGCGCAGAATCTGGCAAGGAATTCACAATAAATTATCAGTCAGCTAAAAATTACTTTCTACTCTCTCGACAAATGCCATAAGATGCTCAAAAATCACTAATAAAAAGCCATCTATCAGCCATTGGCTGATTTGAACATGGCGTGCTCGGTCGTTGCTGGGATCGCTGCAAGAAGCCACAACTTGTACACGCGTAGGTGCGCGATAACATCGAAAAAACCGCGTATGCAGAAAAACAAAAAAGAAAACCGTACTCAAGGTTGCAAGGCATGTGCGTCCTATTTTTTTTGTCCCTGCCATCCCTTCCTGCTTCGCTTCCAGTGCTTTAGTCAGGACGAGAGAAGAGAGAATGCAATTGCAGCATGCGAGAAATTTTTCTAACTGCACTCGCACTGGTTGGATTCCTAAAATTTTTGCGGCAATGAATTCGTAAGGCAATAAGCTCTTCCAGGGAATTCATTCCATAGTTACTTGAAAAAGTGTTTCAGGGCCTCTTTAACAGATATCATAACAGATATCATATCTGTGCGTTTAGCGGTTCATTTGCGTGAATACATTGCTTACCTACGGTGTGAGGTGCTTTACGCAAGTAATGGAGCGGCACTGGCGGCAATCGCAGGTCTGTGCATTATCGGAAGTTTTACATCAACGATGATGGCCTTCGATATTAAAAAAATAGAACAGGCCATTGTGGGCAGTACTATTATTGCGTGGCTACGCGTGTCGTGAGGCGTTATCACCTAGCCAATTAAAAGCCAATTAAAATACTTGTAATTGTGCGCTCATGTTGCTAAAAATTTGATTTTTCAAGCTCCTAGGTTGACATATTAAATTCCGCTAAAGCAAGGTTCGTCCGCTTTGAAATTGAAATTTTGCTGCTCTAGAAGCTGCTCCCAATTCAGTCTCAGCTGTCTCGCCCCTGTCAAATGTAAAGGCTTTGTGATGCAGGCTTTCGCCTTTTCCACCAAGAGGCAGACTTGCAAGCTTGGTACGCTATTAACTACAGTTGTCGCGGCTGTTCACCTGACCGCAGACCCGCAACTCGGTTTTACGCATGCTGCCCTTTGTTGAGCTTACAAGCGCAATCTCTTTTTGAGCCCGATCTGGTATTATCAAGGGCAAGCTTATCGAGGCGTCATGCTAAGCTGCTAACCCGCAGGCTAGGCGTAACGAGCGCTGACCGCACAACCTCCATAAACAGCAGACGCAGATGTGGGGTTCGGTGCCAAGTCACATAAACAAAAAGTGTTGCAGTGGTTACATTCTGAAATAGGTTGATCTATGGGAATCGCTTTCCGATTTTGAAAGCAACGACTCGCATTGTCAACAACAACCCAGGCGCGCATGTAAAACATTTGAGCAATTCGTTGTCACCAATGCGTACGACACTGCGCCTGGGAAATCAAAAGCATACGGATATCCGGTCGCCATAGCTCAGGGAAATTAAGCGCAATAACCAGGTGCTCCGAGAACATAGTTGGCAACTTTGCACTAGGGCGCTTTTAGTCCGCGAGCGTTCCACTTTATAAACATTGGAAAATTTGAATTCCCACACCAGTCACACGACTCGATTCTCGAAATGACATGGGCTGTCTGTTCGTCACATGTGCAGTCTTTGCAAAATGGTGCACACATTTTCTTCTCTGTCGACTTACTGTAATGAATGGTAGTCTGACCAGCCCTGCACAAGTGTGCACGTTTTTCTTAATTTACACGTACTTACAGCCACCGTAGCGTGGTGTCTGCACGTGAAAACACGTGCATGCCAACTCGAGTGCTGAGATTTTAAGCAATTAGTTTCGTTTACGAAGCATCAATTCATCATGTTTGGTGCAACTTTGGTGCAAAGTAGTGGGAATGTAGCAGTATTGGTGTTTTGGAGCAGTTTGGAGCAATTGGCGCTGGTACAATCGGCACAGTTAAAAGCTGAAGACTAAACACAAGTGTAGGATTTAAAGGTGTAATATCTTAATGTGTAATTGTGATTGAAGCAGTAATTCGACCTTGTTTGACTGATGCTCATCTTGCTATGTTCACTGTATATATGTCATCTTTTATTCAGTAAACTTCAGTTGAGGGTCCGGGAAAAAAAGAAAGTGCACGCGTTTTGTTTGCTCCAATCCAGTTTTTCAGCGCAGTTATACCATTCTAAGATAACGTTATATCTCTTAACCCTACTTGGTGCTTCAGTCAGTGAAATGGTTGAAAATACAAAGCTAGTAATTATTTTGTGCACTTCCAGGCTGGTGGGCTTTCCACCATTCTGGCACAGGAAGCAGATGGTGATGCTTCGCAACATTATGGAAGGAAAATACGAGTTTTGTAGCCCCGAGTGGGATGACATCACTGAAGCCCCTAAAGACTTGGTGAGAAAGATCTTTTCTTTTTTCTAGAGCTCTATGAATAGAAATACTTTAGGCGCAGAGTAAATTCATATAATAAAATGTGAGTGTGAATTGAACTGAATAATTTTCTGATATTTCTCGAATATTTTTCTAATACTTCGCAGCATAGGCAAGCTGACTGCACCAACAATACTGGTCTCAAGCAATTTTTTTTTCTTGAGGCACCTCATGCGGTCACCATGTGTTGGAACATAACCACGGAACAAAAACTCTGTATTATTAAGTCGAAGTCTAGATTGCAAAAATTTGTGACATCATCATGACGTAACAAATTCTGGTGAGCCATCGTCCCACTTAACATCACATGATGCCATTGTAGTGCCCTCCTTTGAGCGGCTAACAAAATCGGGGAGCAGGCCACCTCCAGGCTACCTCCCTCATCATACATCAACTGAGAAGGAAAAGTAGACGACTTCTGCCTTCGAGTCATCATAGGTCAATGCACGAGGGACCCTGTTAGTTAAAAAAAAAAACTGCCATGCTTCCTTAAGAGCGCGAAATGCTTTTGAGGCAACATTAGCATTCTACACTAATGTGCTATTAAAAAGTTGCCTACTAAGCAAGCTCTGATGCTTACATGCTGCTTTAAGGAGGCAATTTGGTAAATTACTAGTTTTCATGATCTGAATATACTGTTCAAAATGTGTAAGATTTCTAAATGAGGTTCACTTAAGTATATTTTTAATATACTGAATGACTTCGTTCGAGTTCTGTATGTGTGGGGCCTGGCTGCATACATTTGCTGAGCAACACTTACGATGCCGTACATCAGTACCTATTGTTGCACGTTGTTGTACTCGTTTGTAAAGCCTGATTATTGAACATTTGACCAATGGAAGTCCAAGGTACAGTCACTAGACAGGACACTGGCAAACTATCGGAAGAGACGAAAAATCTTATTAAGAGATGACAAACCACGAAGACCTCAAATGCAACAGACAAAAAAGAGCTCGTGGAGATTTAGAAGTTAATCAATAGGCGTAAGGTAGCCGACATCAAAAGGTATAACACGGAAAGAATCAGGTAGGCTGTAAAAAGCAGCAGAAGTCTGGAAGGTAAACTTGCACATAGGCAAAAAGCAGATGTAGGCATTAAGGAACAAGGAAAGCAATGTGATAACCAATATGAATAGGATAGTCGAGAGGGCGGAAGAGCTCTACATAGAGCTGTACAGAAGCCAAAACAGCTAGTATGCTACCGTAATAAGCGATAATAGCCCAGAGGAATCGGACATCCTACCAGTAATGACAGGGGAAGTAATGAAAGCTGTAGAAGGAATGCATGGAGGCAAAGCTGCTGGTGAAAATAAGGTAACAACGGTCCTCCTGAATGATGACGGAGAAATTGTGATAAAAAAACTGGCCACCTTAGATACAAAGTGTCTCTTGACGGGAGGAACACTAACATCATCTTAATCCACAAGAACGGAGATGTCATGGACTTTAAAATTTACAGGCCACTGAGCTTACAGCCCATTCTTTACAAACTATTTGCAAAAATAATAGCTAACAAAATTAGGGCGACATTAGAGTTCAATCAACCAAAAGACCAAGCAGGATTTCGTACAGGCTACTCTACAATAGACCATATTCATACTATCAACTAGGTAATACAGAAATGCACGGAATACAACCAACCCCTATACATAGCCTTCATAAATTACGAGAAGGAATTTGGTTTAGTCGAGACATCAGCAGTGCAGGCACTGCGTAATGAAGGCATTGACGAACCCTACGTAAACATACTGGAAGATATCTACAGCGGATCCACAGAAGCCATAGTTCTCCATAAAGAAAGTGACAGAATCCCAATAAAAAAAGGTGTAAGGCAGGGGGACACGGATCTTTGCAATGCTATTCACAGCCTGTTTACAGGAGGTTTTTCAGGACCCTAGATTGGGAGGAGTTAGGGATAAGATTTTATCAAGAGTATCTTAGTAACCTTGGATTCGCTGATGACAATGCCCTAATGAGTACCTAAGGGGACGAATTACAGCTCATGATTACTGAACTGTACACGGAGAACAGAAAAGCATGTCTGAAAACTAATATACACAAAACTAAATTAATGGGCAACAGTCTCGGCATAAAAGAGCACTTTCCGATAGATAAAGAGGCGCTGGAAGTTGTAAAGCAATATACTTAGGACAGGTAGTAACTGCGCAGCTGAACCGTCAGAGTGAGAAATAACTTGGAGAATAAGGATGGGGTGGATCACATTTGATAAGCATTCTCAAATTATGAATGGTAATCGGCCACTAACCCTCAAAGGGAAGGAATATAATAGCTGCATCTTGCCGGTATTTACCTACGGAGCAGAAACCCAAAGGCTTACAAAGAGGGTTCAGCTTAAATTGAGGACGACGCAGTGAGCTATGAAAAGGAAAATGATAAGAGTAACCTTAAGAGACAAGAAGAGGGCAGAGTGGGTTAGAGAAAAAAACGGGGTTAAGGATATCATAGTTGAAATTAATAAGAAATGGACTTTGGCCCGGCATATAGCACTAAGGCAGGATAACCGCTGGTCATTAAGTGTTACTGACTGGATTCCCAGAGAAGGCATACGCACGAAGAGGAGACAGAAAGTTAGGTGGGCCGATGAGATTAAAAAGTTCAAGCTGTAACATATCAACTGAAAGCATAAGACTGAGCAACGCCTCCTCTAGACAGATGCCTGCAACTTCACACGCTTTCCTATGGGGACAGGAGGTTCAGTAGGGTTGAGAGCTGGGCTAGTTGGTGAGACATCATTTAACCATATGGTGTAGTAGCGCAATTTTCACGGGGACGAAGAGGACAAGAACACACGACACTCGCTACACTCGCAACTAATTTTATTTCAGAAGCAGCACTTCATATATAACACATAACCCTAGCGACACAGAAAAGAACTACGAACATTGAATCATTGCCAACAGAAGCTTTTGCGCAGACTCAAGCGATAGTACACGGCAGATACGCTTACACTTTAGGATGACATAACTAAAACAGCCCTGGGTAACATCAAATCAAAAAAACCAAAAACTTTTGCGGGAATTCACACGTGTTTGAAACAAAATTTTGAAACGACAAAAAGGAGAGTATGACACATGCAAACACTGATCTCAATTAAGTTCTTTGAGGTAGCTGGCTTCTCGGTCACTTAACGAAACCGATGACTGACTAATACATCCTTGTTTTCTTTTTTTAATGTGGAAGGCTTCGACAATTTCTCTGGTTAGTTGGTTTCCATGACGGAAGACTACGGTTGTGTCACTGAACAGTGGTGAGCAGCCACACTGGGAACAGTGTCTCTTTATGTGAGAATGAATGTCAGTTCTTAATGATCGCTTGTGTTCTAAAAGTCGGGTGTTCAAACAACGACCCGTCTGGCCGATGTATACCTTTCCACACGTTAGCGGCAAGCAATACACAACTGATAGGCTACACTTAACAAACTTTGTTGTGTGATTTACCGTACAACTACCAGCATTAGTGTTTACTGCTATGGAAACTTTACGGTCTAGTTTGGAACATATTTTACTAAGCTTGTTGGGTGCCGAAAAAACTAGTTCTAGGCCATAGCGATTACCTACGTTTTTTAAGTTATGGGCAATCTTGTGCGCATATGGAACTGACACTATGTTCTTCCTGTTTTCATTACTTGTCATTTTTTTATGAAAGTACGAAAAACACGTGTTTAGGGTACGAAAAACACGTGTTGTGTAGATCGGCTAACAAGCTGATTAGTCACGTACGCAACAACTTTCATAAAAAAATGACAAGTAATGAAAACAGGAAGAACATAGTGTCAGTTCCATATGCACACAAGATTGCCCATAACTTAAAAAACGTAGGTAATCGCTATGGCCTAGAACTAGTTTTTTCGGCACCCAACAAGCTTAGTAAAATATGTTTCAAACTAGACCGTAAAGTTTCCATAGCAGTAAACACTAATGCTGGTAGTTGTACGGTAAATCACACAACAAAGTTTGTTAAGTGTAGCCTATCAGTCGTGTATTGCTTGCCGCTAACGTGTGGAAAGGTATATATCGGCCAGACGGGTCGATGTTTGAACACCCGACTTTTAGAACACAAGCGATCATTAAGAACTGACATTCATTCTCACATAAAGAGACACTGTTCCCAGTGTGGCTGCTCACCACTGTTCAGTGACACAACCGTAGTCTTCCGTCATGAAAACCAACTAACCAGAGAAATTGTTGAAGCCTTCCACATTAAAAAAAGAAAAGAAGGATGCATTAGTCAGTCATCGGTTTCGTTAAGTGACCGAGAAGCCAGCTACCTCGAAGGACTTAATTGAGATCAGTGTTTGCATGTGTCATACTCTCCTTTTTGTCGTTTCAAAATTTTTTTTCAAACACGTGTGAATTCCCGCAAAAGTTTTTGGTTTTTTTGATTTGATCTTACCCAGGGCTGTTTTAGTTATGTCATCCTAAAGTGTGAGCGTAACTGCCGTGTACTATCGCTTGAGTCTGCGCAAAAGCTTCTGTTGGCAATGATTCAATGTTCGTAGTTCTTTTCTGTGTCGCTAGGGTTATGGGTTATATATGAAGTGCTGCTTCTGAAATAAAATTAGTTGCGAGTGTAGCGAGTGTCGTGTGTTCTTGTCCTCTTCGTCCCCGTGAAAATTGCGCTACTACACCATATGGTTAAATGACGGGAGGTTCCTTGTACTTCAATGCTTTCTTCGCAAGGAGCGCTCACAGCCGACACTACTACTTCCGCTGGATTCGTGACGCCATCGCAGAAAGATGACCGTGTTGCCTCAGAGACGGCAGTAGACATGGCTTTAATATCAGAGGCTGTGAGGTTTAAATCGGCCGCTGCAGCTAACACTCACAGCCGACACTGTTTAGGGGAGCGGAGGAAGAGAGAAGAGCAGAGGGCTGAAAGCCAGCTTTTCGGCTCAAGTCGCAGGCATCTTTTTAGAGGAGGTGTTGGACCAGGTTGATTGGCAGATCATGGGAGAGGCCTTTGCCCTGCAGTGAGCATAGTTAGGCTGATGATGATGATGATCATAGGAAACTTTGGGGGGGGGGGGGGGGGTTGTGTAGAACAGAACTTCCCTCTTAAAAAGAAAAGGTATGCCTGGCACCTGAGGCTTATTTATATTTTTTCAGCAACCTATGCAATGTTTCTAAAGCTGGTGATTTCTGTAGGTAAACATAGTGGTCACCTGAGAGAAATGCCATTTTCATTTAAACATTCACAACTGGCTGGCAAGCTGGTTTCATTTGTTTTCTTTGATTTGTTATTTACTGGTTTGGAACCACTTCATCATTGGTTTGGGTTCAAGTTTAGCAGTTTCACTTCAGCTGAAAAACTACACGATTCAGCACCAAGTGTAACTTGGCTGCCTGAAGATGCCTGTGCTTTGTTATAAAAGGAAGTACAAAGAAAGCATTATTGCTATGGCTATGCCATGGAAGAAAGCAAGAGCTGTGCTGTTGAAGCTACTGTAATGTTTCGTAGCACCTCACTTATCTTTTGGACTAATGACATCGTGTGACATCCTTTCTATAGATCAGCAAGCTGCTGGTTGTTGATCCGAAAAAACGCCTCACAGCTGCACAAGCCCTGGATCATTGCTTCTTCAAGGCTGTTGTAAGTTGTAGTGCTTTATAGTTTTACTCAAGTTCTGAGATCAGTGCCAGCATTTCGATCTATGAATGTGCCAATGTCTCACTGCTGCTAGTGCACGTTCCAGATGTGTTCAGGGGGCTTCTTGGCTTGCATGCAATTCTGGTTTATAATTCTGTTGCTTGCCAGAAGAATATAAAGTATTTGATTTGGCGCTTTCAAAACTTGTGTGCTTCTACGAGGCTGTGTCCACACCCGGCTTGCTCGCATGCATTGGGACAGACTGGCTGTGCTGTGAAGAGGTTGTACTTGATCATATGTTATATATGTCCCCTCTCGTTAAACTTATTGCGAGTGTACAAGATATAGCTGCAACAAACTGACTGCAGTGTCAGAAAGTGATGAAAACCATATCTGCCTTTATGCTGCTCTAAACAAAAATAAATGAATATGCAGGTTAAATGCATATGCATGGTCTTTAATTTTCCTCCTTGTTTCACGCTACATGTTCCATACTTTTTGCATGAAATTATCTTTGCATGAATTCTGTGCTCTTGCTTTGATTCCTTGTGTTTTATGAATATCTGTTCTGCTTGTTTCTCTCTGTCTTGTGGCTCATGTAGAAACGTGCATCTGTTTTCGTCACCGAAGATGTAAGTACCAGTAGCGATGCCACTGTAGTCAAACTTGAAGCTGTAGCAGAATTCTCTTCATAAATATAATTGAGTAAACTGTAGAATAGTTTTTGCACTTGTATAAGCTCTTCGTAAAATATTTCTGAGCCTGCATCAGCAATAACTAGTGCGTTTGTATTTCTAAGTTTTCAACTGTACTCGGAGACAGCTCATCTTGGCAGTAGAGTGAAGGCTACGGAGGCAGTGCTTCCGGACATTCATGTTGCTCAAGTACTAGTACGGCAGCTTGCAGCTGATTGCAGTTTTGCTCACTCACACCATTAGCACTTTTAGAAAAACATGCACCAAAGGTGTGAGTGAACATTTTAATGTCACATTACAAGTACATTTTTCTTCATGAACTTAACAATGGCCACACACCAATTCACACATGTCATGGTTGACATGTTTACTCTGGAAAACTTGTGCAGAAAATGTGATGCCATGTAAAAAAACAAAGAAAAAAAGGACACTCTTGTAATGTGAACGAAAATTGGAATTTACATAAAACTTCCCGCAACTGTTTCAGACTCGTACTGAATAAAGCAGTATTAATTCACCAAGGCCAGTGAGAAAATTATCAAATGACATGGGTACGATTTCTGGGCATTCTAGGAGGCATTTGTTTCGGTTCTGTAGCTTCCACAGTACTGCGGAGGAAAGCTTTCCCTGATTATAGGACATTGTATTTCATCTTAACCCCTGTATGTTACTGTATAAACATGGTAATGACTTGTTATGTAATACCTCACGTGGGGTTTTCAAAGGTATTACAAATAAAATGAAATGTAGCCATACATATAGTACTGCTTTTAGGATGCACACGCTAGTGAAGTAGATAGCGGCAAGTTTTTGTTAGTTATCACCTTAGCAATATGCAAAAGCCATCAGGTGTTTGATTGCTCTTATAATGCAAAACCGATTGATTGGCTTAGTTTTCATTGACACAGAATGACGTCTTACACAAATTACACTATTTCTTTGGACCACTCACTGTTGATCCTTGCACCCAACATGTCACATTCATTTTTGCGTTTCTCCCATGGATAGCCAGTGTGTATTTATTTCTTGGTGATTAATATGTTTGCTGCAGATGGGAGGATTGAGTTAGCAAACTGATGAGTAGCCAACATGTGTTGCTGCATATGTGTGTATATGATTTGTAAAGAATTGCTTTAACAGACGAAGAAAATAGCAATTTGAGAATTGCACATGCTCAAGCAAATTTTAACACATCAGTCTTGAGAAGTGCTCTCTACGATTAGGTGTAATGAATCAAGATTATGACAAGATGTACAAGCACTGAAGGGGAAAACACTTTGCAGCACTACAGCAGGGTTCCGGTTTAGAACAGTTGACCAGCATGTGCTATGCCAGGAATCATCACTGGGTCATCAAACTGTGGTCATAACAGAATCAATTCTGGCAGAGATAATTCAAAGCCATTGTGAGGCCAACTGCTCATGAAGTACTTAAACAGACATTGAAGGCACACAGCAATTCTTTCTAGAATGAGAACGTTTGAAATGTCAGTATTATGTGAAGCAGTGCTTTGCTAGTCACGAAACAAAGGTACAGTACGATTTATGGTCTGGAATGAGAGAACCATGAAGTGAAATGCCCTCAGTGCAATTAGTTACAAGTATTCAAACTACCCATGATAAAAAATATTGCAGTACAATACTAGTAGATGAAATAAACTGCGGCATTTCTGCTCAGTTCAAGGGGAAAACGAATTCCCTTGGAGAATGATGCAGGTGTTCCAAAAGTTGCCTGGCCATTCTCCACTGGCACGGTCCAGCTCGATGGCAGTTTAGCTATGGCACGACAAGCTGTAGCACCAGTTGTTGGCCAGTAAAGGGCAGGCAAGGCAAATGCAACTTAACAAGGCCTCTCTGGGACAGACGGTTTGAAAAGCACTTACGTGTATGGACCACTAAAGTAGGACCTTCTTCCAAACTAGGCATTTTCTTGATGCACTACAAAGTTTCTGGAATGCTATTTCAACAATAGAAGTCGAGTTCATATTTGCCTTTAATGTCCCTTTAATGGACTATTCATGTCCGAGTATTTGTTCGGTGGGTGCCTCTTGGTGCTAGGAATTGAACTGAGTACTTCTCAATTAAAAATGGCTAGTTCAGAGTGTTTGTACGTCTTTTAAAATAACTGCAGCAGGAAAAAGAAAAAGACAGACATGGACGAAACAAGACGACCAGAACGCGCACTTGTTTCATCATTGCAGTTTTATGAAAATAGTAGTTCTCACGGAAGTGGATGTCGCCGCTGTTGCCACTTGGTTTGTGTTGGTCGAATACCTGTCATGGTAGCTTAGGACACAAGGGGTAGTGCTTCTAAGCGCGGGGTGCAGGTTCAATAAACCTCTCCCAGGGTATGTTATAGCGCGACGTCACCAGTGCACGTGCAAGGCAGTGCTCGGCAAAACACCCCCTACTGGTTGCTTAGCGAGGTGCAGTCGCACAGTGCTTGGGGCAGTTTTTCTTTAATGCTTAAACTTCATTTTACTGTTGCAAAATCAGCTGTGGTCAGAGATGTATTAGAGAAACGTGACGAGAAAGCTGCCCCGCTGGCTGGCTGTTTACCTTGGAGATGTGAACTCACGTGGTGGCCTGTGCGAAGAACAGAAGCTTTGTCTTCCAAAATGTGCAGTGTTTATTGTGGCGTGTAGTGTGCATTGAAAGGCATATTGGTTTACATTTATGAACGATGAAACTGAGGATATTGTGTGTGGTGCGTGCTGTGTGAATAATGATGCATCTTGTTGTGGGCCTATGGCAGTGATCGGTTGTTGGCGTGACATGACGATTCAACATTTTAGTCAAGATAAAGGTGCATTCAACGACGCGGTCATCTGCTAGTGCATACATCTCAGCATTTGCACTGCATGCAGAAAAAGAAAGTGCAAAATTGCGGGGCAGAAAGATACGACTACACATGAGTATGTCTAAGCATTACCAAAGCTGTATAGATGATACACCACGGTGAATGCGCAAGCCCAATGAATGTGTAACTTATATTATTGGAGACCTCAGTGTAGACTGTTGAAATTGCGAACCCAATGAAGGTATAACTTGTACAATCGGATACAACAGTGGAGATTGCTTCTTATACTGGTACCAGTATCAGAAACTATCTCCACTAAGGTCTCCGATATTTATGAAGTGGCAATGCACATTACAAATTTGTGTCTAAAGAAGGAAAGTGAGTAAGCAAAAAATTTTATTTTCTGTTACCTCAAAGGCTCCAGTTTAGGGGTTTTGCATGAGTGGTAGTCAACAATTCAACATCACAAATGGGCATCAGATGCAGCGAGGTAACTGTGCAAGTGATTATGTATATAATTAAGTTATCAGCTTAAAAATCTGAGAAATTTGCAGTGGGTCATAAGGAAACATGTAGGGAAGAACTTTGCTTCAATTTTCACGGGGATTGGTTAACCTTAGCCTAACACATGACAAAAAGTGCTTCTTTGTTTTTCTGTCTCTTTCTTTCTTCAATTATCTCCAATGAGAATTTTGCGCTGAGAATTTTGACCTTGTTCGTGTGCCAGCAGCTCGAAATCATGCTGCCGCCAATTGTTACACTGCAGCACACATGTTGCTACAGAAATTGCGTACATTCGCATCCTTGCCATGCATTTCTCGAAGCACCAGTCACTGTGGACATGCAGAGAATTTGCTTTAGAAGAGGATAACACTGTTTGATGACTGCGATCTACGACATACAAATCGTGCATTATAGGCAGTGACGCTTCCTTTAAAAGCTGCAACTTTAGAATGGCACTTCGCAAAAACTTCTGTCAAAGGAATGCAGACGTATGCAGCACTGCTATGCAGAAAGATCCCTCTCTCGGAGCTCTCTTGCCAATTAGTCTCTGCTCTGAGGAAGGAGATGGTGCTTGCCGTGACACCATGCTGTTTGCAAACAGGGAGAGGTCTATCCACTGCAGCCACATTTAAATGGGGGAAAGGAAGCATGCTTAGATTTAGATGCACAGTAACGAACGCCAAGTGGTCAAATGTATCTGAAGTATGGCATATCTTAATCAAATTGTGCTTTTGGTGCCCAGGCAGATATTCCTATAGTGATGGCTCAAGATGTGAGCTTGAGTTCAAGGCAGTCTCTTCTGCTCTATCTCTCTACCTTTTCTTTTCCTAGCAATGGCCACCTGTCTGTGGACAGCATAGAGGAGATGCACGCTTTCATGTAGACTTGCTTACTTCAACAAATAGCACACTAACCACTAATCAGCATCTCCTAATCCCTTTTGTTCGACGTGTTGCCCTCAATAAGGCTCCCCTTAGTTCAAACGCTTTATTCGCTTAGTCAAACGTTTTATTCCAATGAATTTCTGGCGCCCATAGAATTAGAATTGTGAGGCTCCTCTGTACTACATTCATAAGGTGGTATGACTGCCATAAAATGATGTCAAATCAGTTTACCACTACCAATAGAATATGTCGCATTAAAAAAAAAAAGAATGAGCATATTTGTCGTCATCTGAATAACCACCACAATAATATTTAGAGTTGGACCAAGGCACGTGAGAATGTTCCAAGTGGAAACAACTTTGCATAACAGCACTTTCCGCAGAATGCCAGTGATAACCCATAAAGTACTTCAAGTTTCAAAATTTATTGTACTTAGAGCATATGAGCCTGTATAACAAGCTTGTAAACTTAAAAATGATGATAAGTTGATGTGAGGGTAATATATTCATTTAACCTTGAAGAGGGGCTTTGTGGCAGTGCAGATTTCCCCTGAATTGTGGCAATCACGGTATAGCAATCCTTTACTGCAGTGAAACCAAATTTACAGAAGGCTACATGCATTGTTAGTTGTTTATATGTGTTTAATTCATTAATTCTGATGTAATGAATCTAAATAACGGACGCTTTGCTGGTAATGAAAAAGACGATGATGATCGGTGGCTGTAGTAATAGCTCGCGCACGTCGCTCGCCATTAGCCAGACCTGCCTGATAAAGCACATTTTGCCAAGCTGCGCCTGAACCTTTCTCGACATTTAACACCTCTATTTTACTGAATGTAAGTTTGTGTTGGAGCAAATTTGAATACCGTAATATTTGTCTTAATATTTGAAGTGCTCAAGTATTTGCACGTGCCTTCTTCTAACCACAGGGGACAACACTATTGTTGTTTCCATCATCAAAACTTGTAGGGTGTACAAAAACAATAAACATTCAAGCTCTATTACTTTGTTTACCATAGTTCATTGCGATTGATTTGGCTACCTCGTACCAACTATTCTGATGGCTGCTGCCTGCCTATCAACTGTCTGCAATGAACATTACACTGTGTCTTACTTTGATTGTGTTTATATTGAGCTGTTCTATTCGTAATCTCATTCATATAAAACATTAGATTGGTTTGAATTCATCAGCTTCACTTTTTCTGTTAGCTCTTCCCGTTTCAGTGCGTGACCCTTTTGTTTCTATGCACAACTTTCTCCTTGGTGTAATTGTGGCTCATTTGAATAGAATTGATCTGTCCTAGCCAAAGTAGATGCAATATTGTGATGTGGGGAAGGGTTTTTCTCTGAATCCACTAATGATAGTGGCAACACCTGCTGCGGCCATAAATTGGTTTAATAAACAGTTGCATTACATGTTAAAACAAACCACGGGTTCTTCAGAATCTACAGCACCTAAATGATGTAGTGTCCAAGGCTGGATTACTAAAAAGCAGCTTCCATCTTGCATTGTCTCTTTTTAAGGTGAATGTTTCAGCCAGTGACAGTTTTTCTACTAAATTGTTGCTACTAGACGCTTTCTCTAGGAAAGCTAGACCAATGAATTAATGGTGTTAGAGACTTAGAACTAATTATGCCTGTTCTACTTCTTTTAAAGCCATATTACTTTCCTTTTCTGTACACTTGTAGGTGGCAATACAAAAGCGGGCCTTTAATGCAAGAAAAACTTTTCAGGTAAGTGGGCAGATTGTGTTTTTGCATGTATGGCAAGCACTTAAAATGAGTAAATATATTTAGAATCTAAAGCTAGAATTTCCTTTATTACAAAGAGAAAACATGCAACAGAACTGATGGGTTCATAACATTCTACCCCTATTGAACAGTGTCACTGTGGACTGTTGTTGCATCTTGCAGTTTGGCATCCTTTGTGTCAGAGCACTGGTACGGATTCGACGGCTACGATACACGCCGGAGCCACTGTCTCTGAATATTGCACGAACCAACCCGTACCGTATTAAGACACTGCGAAAGGTATCAGTAACACTTGTGTGCCTACAGTATTTCTATTTTTTATATTTATATACAGCCCCGTTGAGGCTATTGCAAAAGTGAGAATCTTGCATCACACATCAAGTGCAGACAAAAAGTTACAATAGCACAATTCACGAATACATCCTGGTAGAGAATTGCAGTGCGAGTTCTTAAAGGAAAGAAGAAAAAAAACTGATTATGTCAGTTTCTGTCGGTGTCCTTAAAGGAAGAAAACAGTTGTGAATAGACCTAGAGCGCTGTATCATTCATTGTGCATTGCTTTGCCTCTTCCCACCAAAAGTTATTTTGCATTCCTTGCAGGTGATTGATGGCTGTGCCTTCAGAGTTTACTGTCACTGGGTCAAGAAAGGAGAAATGCAGAACCGTGCTGCCCTGTTCGAGAATCACCCAAAGATTGAGCTGCGGCAAATGTACGAAGAGACGCAGGTGGCTGCCTGAGGATTTTGTTAGCTGGCTCCGCTTGTCCAAGCATTTCCACGTGACGGCACAGTGTGTGTCCGTTGTGTCCCTATCCCTGTACATACTAGGCCACTGAAAAGGAGATATGGCATTGCCTAGCAAGCATTGTAATGGCCCCATTTCCTTTAGAGATGTGTTACTTGCACATGCACTCACTTGCCTAATTAACGAAAAATGCAGAATTTCTTTTTAAATTGATTAGTTTGTATAGAACCCTGTACAAAGTAAGCTGTTAACATCAACTATCCAGTGAGGAGGGTGCCCCAGACATTGATGGAATGAAATAAAGTGGTACAATCTGAATTTTTTACCTAGCAGTGGCTTGCTTTAGGGCCATGTGATTCGCTAAATAGATACCTTTAGCTTAACATTTGGAAAGTCTGCAAAACATCCCACATCAGAATGTTATTTGCTTATCATAGTTGCGATGACTAACTTGTGCTCTCGACCATGCCCCAAGTCAAAATATCCCTGCATGATGTAATTCATCGCTTCTGTGTGCAAGTGAGCCCGAATATACTGGGCAGAACCTGATGCTTTACTGAGAAAACATCATGAAATCGACAATTCTGGCATCTACTCGTGCAATGCATCAAAAGTGAAGTGTGCTTTCTTTCTCACAATTGGAACTACTTTGCTCTGGGAAGCTAACAGGATCTCTACATCGTATGTGTGTCTGATTGACTGAGTGCTTGAGAGGCATGTTAAATAAATACATGCTCATAAAATTATGCCGCATCTATTTGGTCATGTCATCACTTCTATTTCATATTAAACATCAACAAACAACGCTGCCTTTCATAATAGATGATTGGTGAAATCAAAGTGTACTTTATCATCAGTGGAAATTTTTCTATAGCTGAAAATCTCAATCATTGTGAACTGCAACATTTGCAAAGAAAAAAAGAAGACACGAACAGCTTATATAGGCTTTTCTCCTTCTCAATAGCAGACAAAAGTTATTTTTAAACGCCCTTTCGTAAGTTCACTGCAGTTGCTTTCCTGAATCATTCTGCACATGCTCAATGAAGCTAGCTAGAACCTACCCTGTGCGCTGTCTTTTCCAAAAGTAAACTGATTGTTAACTTTGTCCTGTCCTATTCTTGTGAGCACTGAAACTGTCCCAAGTGAGCATGGTGTTGAGCGAGTCAGTGCATAATGTGTAACTGAGAATAAGAAGAAAGAAACTACAGAAAACAGGACTTATTTTTTTTTCTTCCTTGCTCTCTGTAGAACAACTAATACTTAAACAGGTCCTGAAACACTTTTTCAGCATGGTCAGAAAATGCTGCCGATCAGTAGTAGAGGCTCCCGACAACACGTGAGCCAAGTATTATAGTGCAGCATGCGACCTGGAATTCACAATAAATTATCAAAGTCGGCTTTTAAAGATTGCTTTCTCTTCGCTCGGCAAATGACAGAAGGCGCTTAAAAATCACACGTAGCAAGCCCATCTATCAGCCACTGGCTGATTAGAAGGAAAAAAGAAAAAGCGGTCAAGGTCATGAGGCGCAGGTGACGTAGTTTCTTTGCCCTTGCCATCCCTTCTTGCTTAGCTTCTAGCGCTTTCGTCGGGATTAGAGAAGAGAGAATGCAATTGCAGCATGTGACAAATCTTTGCAACTTCACTCGCACTGAAAGGATTCTTAAAATTTTTGCGATGCTGGATTCGTAAGACAATAAGCTCTTCCAGTGAATTCATTGCATGGTTACTTGAAAAAGTGTTTCAGGGCCCCTTTAAAGGTAAACTAATAGAAGCGTTTGAAGAATTGTTAGGCACTAAACTGGACATTATTGGCCATAGTGAAATTGAGTGCTGACAAATGGGCACATCTAGGACTGCAACAGGCTCTGCAGAAAGTATGGCATGGGGTTTCTATTTCACAAATGCATGTAAGCAGCATTGATAAACTAATGTATGAACAAAAGGGGAGCAAGCATTCTGATAAAAATAAAAAGTGGTAGTACAGTTGAACCACCTGAAAAAGGGTTTATTGACGACTGTTGCGACGGTGGTCCTACGAAGAAACACGATCGTGCAAGAGCAACGGTCAAGCAGATGCCGGCGATGATCAGCACGAGCCGAGCGAGCGAAGCCCAGCACCCAGTACCCAAGCGGTGGCGATGTTGCTTGCCAACGAGGCTCTTTCTTCTTCACAATTTGCCCCCGCCGAAAAAGAGCCATCCTGGTGACCTAAGAGTCTGGAGGCAGAGAGCTATAATATGGCTTAAGGCGGGCGACGTGGACGATGTCACGTCCACGCCGGCGCATGTCGTCAGATGGGGAAAGTGGCTCGATGAGAAAATTCACCGGCGAGGTTTGCTCCAAAACGCGGTATGGGCCCTCGTACTTTGGAACGAGTTTTGAGGAAATGCCGGGGGTTTGGTAAGGAACAGCCAGCCATACAAGTGATCCCGGGGAATAGCTGGGGCTTTGGGAAGAGTCGACGTTGTTTTCTTTCTGGCGCTGTTGTTCTCGAGACGTAAAGGTGCGTGCGAGTTCACGGCACTCTTCTGCATTTCGGGCAGCTTCGGACACAGATGGGCATTCGGATGCGTCAGGACGGTATGGAAAGAGAGTATCGATGGTGTGGGATGGTTCGCGTCCATAAAGAAGAAAGAAAGGTGAAAATCCAGTGGTAGACTGTGCCGCGGTGTTATATGCGAACGTAATGAATGGAAGAATGCGATCCCAGTTAGTATGATCGGATGTCGCATACATGGCGAGCATATCGCCAAGGGTGCGGTTAAATCTTTCCGTGAGCCCGTTAGTCTGCGGGTGGTATGCCGTGGTCTTGCGATGAACAACATGGCATTCAGAAAGCAGAGACGTGACGACTTCTGATAGGAAGGCTCGACCTCGATCGCTTAGTAGTTCTCGAGGTGCACCATGTCGTAATATGAAGCGATGAAGGATGAAGGATGCTACGTCCCGCGCAGTGGCACTTGGAAGGGCGGCGGTCTTAGCGTAGCGTGTTAAATGGTCCACAGCGACTATAATCCACCGATTTTCATCTGATGTTGTCGGTAGAGGGCCATAGAGATCAATTCCGATCCGATCGAAAGGTTTGGCAGGGCACGGAAGCGGTTGAAGCGCACCGGACGAGTGGAAAGGCGGTGATTTGCGACGTTGACAGTCAGGACAGCCCATAACGAATTTTCGAACGAAATTATACATTCCGCGCCAGTAGAAGCGATGGCGAATGCGTTCGTAAGTTTTGAAAACTCCGGCATGACCACATTGGGGATCGTCGTGAAAGAAGGCGCAGATTTGTGATCGCAAGCTGCGGGGGACAACCAAGAGCCACTTACGACTTTCGGGGGCGTAGTTGCGTCGGTGTAGTAGCCGATCACGAATGGCGAAATGAGCAGCTTGACGTCGGAGAGATCGTGGTACCGCAGTGGTTGACGATCCAGAAAGACAGTTAAAAAGAGAAGCGATCCACCGGTCCTTGTGTTGTTCACTGGTAAAGGAGTCGAGGTCGAGAGATGCGATGGAGATACCAGTGGTTCCGCAGGCCGAGTCGGGAGGTAAAGGCGAACGCGACAGGGCGTCGGCGTCAGAATGCTTGCGTCCGCTGCGATAGATGACACGAATGTCGTACTCCTGGATTTGCAGTGCCCACCGAGCTAGGCGGCCAGAAGGGTCTTTCAATGTGGCGAGCCAACAAAGTGCATGGTGGTCCGTTACCAGGTCGAATGGGCGACCGTACAAATAAGGGCGGAACTTGCGAAGCGCCCACACTAGCGCCAAGCACTCTTTTTCAGTGACGCTGTAATTGGCCTCAGCTTTAGTAAGTGTGCGACTCGCATAAGCGACGACGTATTCGGAGTAGCCCCGCTTGCGTTGGGCGAGGACGGCGCCTAGACCAACCCCACTAACGTCTGTGTGAACTTCCGTTGCAGCTGTTGGGTCGAAATGCCGAAGAATTGGAGGAGATGTTAGCAGACTACGGAGCGCGGCAAACGCGACGTCACAGTCAGAAGACCAGGATGAAAGGTCTGCATCACCGCGTAGGAGGTTGGTCAGTGGTGACATGATCGATGCAAAACTTCGCACGAAGCGCCGGAAGTACGAACATAGTCCGACAAAACTGCGTAATTCTTTCAGTGTAGTAGGTTTCGGGAACTCAGCGACTGCTCGCAGTTTCGCAGGGTCGGGTCGAACACCATGCTTGGACACGATGTGCCCTAAGATGGACAGCTATCGCGCGGCGAAGCGGCACTTTTTAAGGTTCAGTTGGAGCCCAGCGTTGGTTAAACACGTCAGAACCAGTTGGAGCCGAAGCAGATGCGTAGGAAAATCGGGAGAGAAAACGACAATGTCGTCGAGGTAGCATAGACACACAGACCACTTCAGTCCACGCAGTGTGTTGTCCATGAGCCGTTCAAACGTGGCAGGAGCATTACAAAGACCAAATGGCATTACGTTAAATTCGTACAGGCCATCCGGTGTAATGAACGCAGTTTTCTGGCGATCAGCTTCTGCCATAGGAACCTGCCAGTATCCAGATCGTAAGTCTAAGGAGGAGAAGAATTCGGCTCCTTGTAGGCTGTCAAGGGCGTCGTCTACGCGCGGTAATGGATAGACGTCTTTCCGCGTCACCTTGTTTAATCGCCGGTAGTCGACGCAAAATCGAATCGATCCATCTTTTTTTCGAACTAGAACGACAGGAGATGCCCAAGGACTGTGCGATGGTCGAATGACGCGACGGCGTAGCATCTCTTCGACCTGGTCGTTGATGACGTGACGTTCTGCAGCAGAGACACGGTACGGTCTTTGACGCAATGGCTGGTGCGAACCGGTGTCAATGTAGTGGTGCACTGCGGAAGTCCAACCCAATTGCGGTTGAGAAACGTCGAATGAATTCGCGAAGTGCTGGAGGAGATTAAGAAGCTTGGCGCGTTCAAGGGCACTTAAGGTGTCGGCGATGGAACTCGAGAAGGTGTCACTAGATGAGCACTCCAGTGGGGAAAGGGCATGAAGTTCGGTCGAGGCGCTACTGCACGATTCGTCTGGCATGCTAAGGAATAAAGAGGAATCGAGGTACTCCACTCGACCGAGACATTCGCCGGCACGTAGCGTAAGCGGTGCAGAAAGGGGGTTGTGGACGAAAATATTGCTTCGGCCCGCAGTGACGTCGAGTGTAGTGAAAGGCAAGGAAATGGCTCTGCGGCTCATGAAAATGTCGGAAGGTGTAAACATTACTGTAGCATCGTTATAGTCATCGCAGCAAACCGGGACAACGGCAAGAGAGGCTGGCGGAATTTCAGTGTCCTCACGCACGACAAGTTTTGGCGACCGCTCAAGGGTTTCGTGCAAAGGTTCGTCACACAGGTGCGAAAATTGAACTTCAGCGCGTGCGCAGTCGATGATGGCATGATGATTTGACAGAAAGTCCCACCCGAGGATAACGTCATGCGAGCACACCGAAAGGACGATGAACTCGACAACGTACATAGAGCCTTGGATGAATATGCGGGCCGTACAGGTGCCAAGAGGTCGAACTTGTTGTGCGCTAGCTGTACGAAGCGATAGTCCAGAGAGCGGCGTGGTCACTTTGCGTAGGGAGCGGCAGAGCTGGGCGGCTATAACAGAAACGGCAGCTCCTGTGTCGACGAGGACAAAGGCACAAACACCATCGACAGATATAGCGACGACGTTAGCTGGTGAAGTGCGAGGACTTGAGCATTTCGACGATGGCGCAGTTCTTGCCTCTGGAACTGCGGCGTTCAGT